ATTCCTTTCAAAGACGAGCTGTCGCGCTACTTGGCTGAGGAGGCTGACCCTCTGGTGGATGATGCATTGGGTTGGTGGACGAAGAAGAGCACGGTCTATCCACGCTTGTCTCGGATGGCGCTGGATTACCTATCCATCCCCGGTACGTCTACCCCAGCTTTATCACGGCCAAAGATCTGAGATCTTTCCACGTCAATAGCCACCTCGGTCGACGTTGAACGGGTGTTCAGCCGAGGGCGTATCATTCTTTCACATCTCCGGAACCGCCTCTCTGCCGAAACCACCCGGGCGCTTTTGTGCCTCCATTATTGGAGTATGGCCGGTCTCATCAAGGACCGTGACGTTATCCGCGTTGTCCGTGATGAGGCAGAACTTGAGGGTGACGAGGATATTACTTTGGAGGAGGGGTGGGACTCTATTGATGTTTCTGATATTGACGACTAGACTATAGCACTGTTTTCTAACGTATCTATTTCTAGATTAAACCTCTTTACTGTACTTAGATATAGTTTCTACAATGTTTGTGCTCCTCCAGACCCGACTTGACCCTTGAAACCCGACCGAACCCGAGGGGTTGACCCGAAAACCCGATACCCTACCTAACCCGTTAAATTACCCGACCCGGACCCGAACCCTAGACGAGGGGTCGGGTTTTGGATGGGGTCGGGCTGGGGTTGGTCTCCGAAAACCCCGGGTTGACCCGTGGTGATCCCTATCCAAGGTCATGCGCACCCTCCTCAAGCGTCTAGGCATCGAGTCAAACCTCACCACTGCCTACCATCCTCAGGCCAACGGACAAACTGAACGAGCCAACCAAGAAGTCGAGAAGTATCTCCGCCTCTACGTCAGCCGCCGACAAGATGATTGGGACAAACACCTTCCTATGGCCGAATTCGTTATCAACTCCCGAATCCACTCTGCCCACGACCGATCCCCCTTTGAAGTCCTTTACGGCTACACCCCTCACTTCAACATCCCTGTCGGTAAACGAACCGATCTCCGCCCTGTCGATGAACGCATCCAACAGCTTCAAGAGGTCCGCAAGGATGCCGAAGCCGCCTTACGTCTTGAGAAAGCGCAACAGAAGGACTCGTACGAATCCGGCAAGCGATCGGCTCACCAGTTCAAGGTCGGAGACTATGTCTGGCTCAACGCTAAGGACATCCAGATCAAAGTTCCTACTCGGAAACTTGGCGATCTCCAACTCGGCCCTTACAAGATCATCGAACGAATTGGCGACCTCGACTATCGACTTGAACTTCCCCCATCCCTTTCCCGCATTCACCCTGTGTTCCACGTTGACAAGCTCTCCCCCTGGAAAGGCAATGATGTCAATGGCATTTTGCCACCTCCGCCTGAGCCTGTTGAACTGGAGGGGGAGCTTGAATACGAGGTTCACGACATCCTCGACAGTCGTTGGAGAGGACGAGGGAAGAACCGCAGGCTGGAGTACCTGGTCAGTTGGAAGGGCTACGGATCAACAGAGGATACTTGGGAACCGGAAGAGAACTTGGAGCATGCCCCCGACGCTGTCAAGGAGTTCCATCAGCGCCACCCCTCTGCACCCCGCCGCATCTCAGCCACCACCTTCGCTTCTCTCCCTTGGCGCTCGCTTGAGAACTTCACGGACACACCGCCTACCGACTTCGACTGGGAGCTTGGACGACGCCTACCAGTGATCATCGAGGACGATGAAGCTTAGAAGGGGGGTAATGTCGTGAACAGCAAGTACGAGCCCCTATTTTCCCTTATCTTATCTTATCTTATCGTTTTCATCGCCCTTATCACCTTTTCTTTATTCTTATTTTTGCTCTTATTCTCGACACGGACACTTTCTCCCATGGAACACTGCCTCGTTATGCCCTTCGCCCTACGTCTTATCGTTCTCTCCATTCTTGCACTGCCTCGTTACTCTGTTATTGTCTTCTTTATTCTTCGCGCAGCCTTCGCGCAGCCTTGTGACTCTCCTTATTAGTTCTTTTGTATTTCACCATCTGTTCGTCATCTTGACTCATCGCGGCTATGTAGATTGTAGAATAGGTATATAAGCTAGGTAGATCCCTCTGTATTTCCTCAGCTTGACCTCTTCGTCAATACACCACTTCAGCCTTCATCTGCATCTGTCGCTCATCGCTCTTATCTCACTCGCCGCTCTTATCTGCTCCGCATCACTGGTCTTTGGTTTGGTTTAGTGTTCGCTCTTCGCGACACCAGCCTCCTCCCTCGAAGCTCCAAATCCTCAAGAGTCGGATTAAAAAAAAGGCTTCCCCGCTGTTGTATTTGACAGAGGTTTCTTCTTTCTTTCTTGCTGTTCCTTTAGAGGTTCCCCTTGATGCGGTGTAGGAGTGTCTGGCGTTGCGCAGTCACCAGGAAGACAGGGACCCGCCTTCAGACGACGGGAACCTGACGAGGTCCACATTTACAGAGGGATTTTTCTCCAGATTATCCGCCATGCTGATTCTTCTGCAGGAGCTCGCCAAAGCAACTGTGCCACTCTGCTGGTGTGATCCTGCGGGTGGTTGCCAGGTCTATCAGTTATTCTATGGCATTGAGATGGAATACCGGACTTTACCTTTGACTGACTCTCTGACCAGCAGGTTCCAGCTTGAAACTCTACGGTTTAGCCGTCGGTTTCCACTGGTTGCCATCTACTCCATGTCGTAGTCGATTCTTTCAATCAGTACAGTTGCGTCCTTTCGATTTTTTTCATTCCTTTTCCATCCGCTAACGTGGAGACCATTCGACTGTCGAGGTCGTAGTCGAATTCGTTCTACGGGGGAGATTGGACCCTGAAGACATCGTTGGAAGCGCGGGACGCTGTGGTGGCTGGGGTTGAAAGTTGAAACGCGAGGAGCAAGGCGATTTCAATCCGCGTCACAAAACCACTGCAACCGGTCAGCCACTTCAAGCTTGCCAACCCGTCAAGACCACGGTCAATCTCAACTGCCACTCGTTTAAATGTCCTCCAAGGTTTCGAGATTCTCAGCTGGGACTATTTGCCTCCTTACGCCGTCTTTTCTCTAGATTTCAGGTTCTTCTGGAATTCTCTCTCCATTTGTACGACCAAGGAAACGATTCTCGGCCCACTTGAAACCGACTCCTTAACTGTTAACGCACCAACCACCGCCAACACTACTGCGAAATTGAAGGATCCGCGTGTATCTTGTTCAAAAAGACGCACGAGGACATCGATTCAATGCATTGAAACAACACGGTAAGTTAAATTGGGCTTTCCAAGAGGCGGCCTTGGCTCAAAGGCCAACGTCCGTGTCCGTCCCTCTCCTTGTCAACAAGGCTCGGCCCTCTGGTATCCTATGTCGACGTTGCTCCGCTTCTCACTGGAGAGACCCGCTCAACAACATTCCATACTACGCCGGACAGCCTCGTCCTTCTCAAAGTCCGTGCGCTTCAGCCTCGCGGAGCCGCAGTTCCCTGTAGCTCTAACAATTCTGGCCCAGTGTGCGTGAATTCGGACCGTCTGGCATCAGCGAAACGCCTCGAACTCGGGGTGTGTTGGCTCGAGTTGGCATACCAGCTCGACACGTTGGGTTTGGGCGTGCTCTAAATCCAGGGATCTCAACAACAGCTCCCCTCAAACCACATGTGGAGGCTTTGAGACGGGGACTGTTAATCGCTCTCTGAGCGCCTCCTTTTCGATGATCGGCATCGGTGCAATTTCAGATGTTCCGCCCACTTCATTCATGACTCCATCATCGGCAGACTCTTCTCCCTATTCTTCTGCTCCGAGAAGAAATTCAGCGCGGCCTTTCTCCTGATAAAGGGCGATGACCTGGTTTGAACCGGTGGAAGCGCAGCTTCGATGACGGTGTCCCAAAAAGCTAGACTTCGGACGCTGGACCAGTTGGCGGAGATCATCGTCGCAGTTTAGAAGGGTTTGGGAAGCTAAAATACAATATCTAGAACGAGGCGGTCCAGCTACGACGGAATAAATACGTAGGTTTGCCTTGATGAGATCGACGGAACTGAAATATGACGGGCGCCTAAACCTTGGGCTGGGCTTTGGCCGTTATGCCTTGTACGATGCTCTTACTCTAATCAGGACCATACTTTTCATCCATTTCGAAGCCGGATAGAGGACACAGGTCCACGCGAGCACGTCCCCCTTCTTACAAACCATTGCATTTCATCGACATCCTGACATTGCTTCAGCGGAGTCGCAGATTCAATGCCCCTGGCAACTGACTAAGCGCCCGCCATCCGCCATCCCGCCTTGGACAGGCGCGTCGGGATGACTCGTTCCACATCTTCAAGAGTAGGCAGCGTCCGCTTATGCTCTTCGTGAACCAGAGCCATTGGGACATGATTCGAGAGCAAGGGCTTCGTCAAGCTTTCTTCAAGCTTTGGTTGAACATGCAGTCGCTGGTCGGTGTGTGGATAATGAAGCGCGAACGCTCTGGTGCCAAGCAATGATCATGAGGATCTCAACAGCGGCATCGACGCCCCCCTTTGTGGCTGTAGCGGGGACATATGCCCTCGGCGTATCTATAAACGACTCAGATTGCGCGTATGTCACGGTTGCGCACAGCCGACCTAGGCCTCGTGGCCTGTTTGGGCGAGTTCAGCGACCACAATCTCCATTGAGTCGTAAATTGCTGTGGTCTCCAACCGCGTATGTTTTAAGGACTGTCGATGGGCGTATCCCACCTCTGTGAACAATTTCAAACTCTTTCATTCGCTCAATGGGCCAAAGGGAGTGAGTGGCTCCTGCCCTCGTCTTCAAGCCCTAGTACTGGAATTTGGCCTGGCGGTCTGGGTAAGCTGTCCTAGCACTGCAACAAAGTATCTTCAGATAGCCCAAGAGTAGCGCCCATATTCCAGAGTCAATCAGGCAACGTTTGAGTCATTTGACCTGTCAGGGTCCCCCTTATTTAAGCGGCAGTGCAGAACCCCAGCCATCAACTCGCTCTGCTTTAGGCAAACTGCAACAGTCTCTGGCTCGTGTCTTCCCTCCAACCATTAACAACATTTAAACTTCGACTACCACCAGCGCTCAACAACTTTCAACTGTTTTGGCCATCCCACCGCTCTCATAACGATGGCAGATGTCCAAACGGTGCCTCTGCCAGTACCGATCCACATCGTCAACTCCGCGACCCAACAGGTTAGAAGTGGCCGGCGACAAGGAAGCGTTGCGGATGTTGTCGACAATTCAGAAGTCCCAGATGAGTCAATTGGAAGCGGCCCAGAGGACGAAGAGTCGCCGCCATCATCGGTCGACGACGACGACGACGACGTGGTGACTGCCGCCGAGCCTAGCACTGCGTCACTCGTATTCGCGTTCATTCCCGAGCTGTTCCCGTTCTCCGATGCGGACCTGTCCGAGCTAGGTATGTTCAATACATATTACATGTAATTGGGTACTCTTGTCTGAACGTTTCTGTGAACAGAGAATGCGGTTCCTTTCCCTTTCCACGACGTTAACTTCCCCTTGCAAGGTTGGTTCCGCGTCGTGCCAAGAGATCATACAGCGAGCTGAGCGTTTACCCCACACAGAGCTTGTGGACCTCGAAATCGATATAGCCGAGTTTCCATTCAGCGAGGAGAGCGAAATCGACCACGGTCCTGTCTTCACGGGCATCTACCATGTCTGGGCTCCGGAATCTATCGAATCGCAGTTCCCTTTCTACACCATGGATGCCGAGAACCTGGCTATGACGGATGTAATTCACAGCGGAAACAAAGCATCTTTCTACGAGTCTGCGTCCAATTACGACTTCTATCGTGAGTCACTTCAACTATCCATGCCCTTTCAGAAGCTAATCGAGATACTAGGGCCATTCCCTCGAGGCGAGACCCTCAGGAAACTCCGGACCCCTAAGAAGGATTTCATCAAGGTCGTTCCAGGAAGCTTGCGGAAACTCCTCGACCTCCCTCTTGAGCTCTTCTTCGACATCCTGGAGCTGTTTCATCCCCTCGACTTGCTTCACCTCTCCCGTGCAGCGCGATGTTTCAACCAACTTCTGCAGACATCCCGAGGGAAGAAAGTTTGGACAGCCTCGTATCAGAACCACCCTGAGCTTCCCCACATCCACGAATCGCTATCCAGCTCCCACTGGACAGCAATGCTGTTCGACTCCAATACTACTTGTGATGTGAGTATTGATCTTCTCATTGCTAATGTCCTTAGCCTCATTATTCTATAGTTTTGTGGCGCGCGAGGCGCCCTTCTCGATTTCGCCTTCAACGAGCATTATTGCGACAGCTGCCAAACCAAGCTCCTCATGGAACCCTACGAGGTTCGGGGCATGCTCGAAGATCACCCTCGCCAATGTGACATCATCCTCGAGTTACTGGTTCCTACTTACCGATCGGGTACACTCCTACTCTCATCTTTCAGCGCACAGACTACTCAATGGTTCTATACAGGCGGCCGTAGATATCAGACGCTATATGACTCTGAGGAGAATGCGCGGTATAGAAAGAAGGATGTCGAAGAGATGTTGAAGACCCTTACGACATGGTTCATCACGATCGACGAAGGGATGGTTCCTGAGGCTGGAGAGGTGTTTGAGAAATGGCAGCAAGAAAGGATCAAGGAGGTCCAGATCATTCACTCTGTATGTCCTCTTGTGCTATGGTTGGTGGAGTGTCACTTCTGAACGGCCCTTCAGAACGCGCAGCGATTCAATATGTGGGCACACCAAGTCACATACGACATCGTTGGCAGGGTATCAGAGACCCAGCGGCGCCTTTCGGAACGGTCAGTCTTCCCAATCTTCGCGACCCTCGTTACATTTACTTACCTTGCTTCCAGGATCGCGAACCGACTCATGAAAATGGGACACGATGAGAGGGACACCTCCGCCTCGGCGTCCGATATCTACTTCTACCTCCGTGTGGAGGAGATCATGAAGTTGAGTTCCAGAAGTGAGTAGGCCCTGCTGTTCCAGTCTATAATTCAATCTAACACGTCGCAGTATTCGAGCAACACAAGGCGATCTTCGAATCTAAGGTCCTCGCCAACAAGAGGTGCCGACTAAAGAAGGAGCGGAAAGATTTCTTCAAGAAGGTGTACCAGGACTACAAGAAGACGCTCAAACCCGAAAAGTGGGCGTACCTGCCCCCAGAAGACGTAGTCTCGTATGAAGATATCTTCAACGACTACATTCACCAAGATGGAATTGAGGACCTCAAGGAATTGGCGATAGAGGAAGCCAACGCCCAGCTCCCGCAAATCATCGCCGAATGGATCTACCAACGCCGTCTAGAGCTGTACGAGCTTATCCCTGGTGTCGAGATGCCTCAGGATCCGCCAGAGGAGAACGAAGAAGGGCTCTCGCCGGAAGAGATCGAGAAGCGGGAGAAAGAGAGGGAGGAGACGAAGAAGCAGACTCTCACTGTCCTAATGGACCAGCGGATGAGCCTCGCCACCTCCGTCTTCAGCTGCCACTCGTGTAAATCCGGGCGCCATGCTGCTCTTGCCATCATCGGGTGGGATGCAGCGTGTGCACACATTTGTGGTAGCCACCCGTCCTATTTCCACACGACATGGGAGTTCTGTTCGGTTGGCTATGCAGCTGCGGCGAATATCATTCGGTCGTTGGGCCTCAATCCTGAGACTGCTACTCCGGAGGACTTGGACAAGATTGATGCGAGGTTCTTCTGTGGCAACTGTCCCGTTACCCTGCATAGGAAGTTGCGTGGACGGAAGGCCTATACCTGGAGAGAATGTGTACGTTCTTCGCCCTGCTTTTGTGTCATTTATGGTGTTAACAAGTTGTTTAACCCCCTCCAGGTCTCGCACGCGGTGGAGAAGGAAGAAGATCACTCCCATGCCATTCCCGCTTGGCTTCGCCTGTCCGATGAAGCCACGCAGTTTGTCAAGCGGCAGGAAACGCAGCCACCGTTGTACAGGAAGGCGAATTGGGGTTGCAATCACTGCCCCGAGCACCTCGAAAAGCCTGTGATGCGCAAGGAAGCGATCGAGCATGTGAAGAAAGCGTAAGTTCTGTTATTTGCACTGCTTCCGTCGCGATTATTGACGTCGGTATTTGCTTCGCCAGTCACTCCATCGAGACACCCGTCCAAGGCACCGACTTCATCGACTTTATCAACCGTTTCGAAGCGGGAGGTTTCTATCGACGGCGTCATATCTTCCATTACAGCATCGAGCCTACATGTAACCTCATCTGCAAGGTCTGTCCGGAAGGCAAGGTACCCAGGATGTGGACTATCCAGGCTCTCGTACCGCATCTCTTCCACAGGTGCGTTTATTCCCGTCCTTGACTTCGTGCCTCCTCTGATGTCTGTTTCATTGTGTATGTAGGCATGGAATTTCGATGCCCTCACATCAAAGGGACTATCGCAAGATCGAAGTTCTTGCTTCTGACTAGAGCGATAGACGGTGTCCCGCTCCTTGCCTTGCGCCGTCATAATCGTGATTTTTGAATGATCCTCGTCTCAGACTCAAAATGGACCTATACCCGCACCTACTACGGCTACGTTTCATCTCATACCTCATTATTCCTCACTCGCATATTTCGGTATACCCCCATATCCTGCACATCACTTGCTTTGGATTTGTATCAACTGTCGGTTAGCCAACAACGTCTACCCTAAAAACTCATGGTGTTACGTTCTACTCATTGTTATGCCTAGTCTCGTCTCATGGTCAATCCAAGTTGTAGCCACCCGTGGTATTTACTGAACTATTGCTTCCATCTACAAACATGTCAACCTCTGAATCTTTACCAATGTCATGTCATTCCAGCCTCGCGCGTTGACCTCATCGTTCCCGTCCGCGCCAAGGGCCATCACTGGCTGGATCAGTTCGGTCCGTTTAAGGGTGCAATGATGGAATTATCGATTCCTCGAGTTGCTTTTCTTCGCTTCTCGCCATCCACATCTCAGCACTGAATAGTGCTCTTTATATCACCAAAAAACAACCATCTATAGAGAAGGACACAGCCGTTTGGAAAATCTATAGCGTCGAAGAGGAAGCGGGCCACACGAAAACAGAACACAACGAAGATGTTAGCAGATCCCAAGGATTTCGCGTTCCAATTTGCGGTGTCGAAGACGTATACTACTCCAGCTGCGATTTCCTCGTTGGCGTTTGGGCATGCTTTCCATTTATATGCTGGATCTGGTTCGTTCTCTTTTATTTCGCCAGATTTTACACCTTTACTGAAGATGTGATGTATTCCATCAATAGTGGACGGCTCGTTAAGAGTCTACGATCTCTCAAGTTGTAAAGTGATTAAAGCAATAAGGGGACTGGAGGGCGAAGTGTCGTCTATCATTTGTATGAAGAGGCCTGGATCTGAGCTGCGGGATGCGTGGGTTGCGCATGGACATCGTGTGCGTCTCTTCCTCTTTCCTTACTCTACCGAAACCCATTCTCATTGTAATGCTCCCCACTCAATCTAACAACAGATATCTAAATTCAAACTCGACCAACCCAAAATGATCCAGACCCTCGAAGACGCGGTTAAAACGATCACGATTGGTGAAAACGAAGATGACGCCGTTAATGAGGTTAGTGCTCTTTCCTTGCGCCTCTTGTCGGCATTTTGGAGGGAGGGAACAGGACACTTACCAATATCAGCAAGCTTGCTTTGCATTACAATAAAACCCATCTTGGTTTGGGTACCGATACGGGTACTGTGGCTGTTGTGGACTTGGAGACGTTTGAGGTGAAGAAGTTGAAGACGAAGCATACGAGTGTGAGTTTAATTTCTTGGTGGTTGAATTTGGGAAGCTGACATCGTTGCCGCTCGTGTGATAGATCTGTGGCGCAGTCCAGTTTATCGCGGATCGAGGGAGGGATATCGTGTCTGCGGGCTATGATCATATGTTCATACACCATGACTTCGTAACCGGCGAAGTTGTATCGCAAGCCTCTATCCGTAAGTTACGCGTCACTTTGCATCTGCTCTCTCACTTATCATTCGTAACCTGTAGCACCCCGGGCGACAACTGACAACAACGCAACCTTGTCACCACCATTCATCATCTCGTTTGGAATCTCATCCAGTGGTGTAATCGCCGGTGGGACGGCCTGTGGTCGACTATGGATCGGTATCGGTGGGGAGAAGCGTCCCGACCGCAAGAAGACGAAAAAGTGGGAGGGCCTGAGTCCCTCTGAGAGCGCTGCCGTCGCCGCGGCCGAAGGACCTATCGCGTCTGTGTAAGTCCATCCACTCCCAATCTCCTCTAAATTATCCACTTATCCTTTGTGATAGCTGTTTCTCGGAGCCCCGAGTGTTCACGACATCGACGATGCTGGGTATCCTCACGCAATGGGAGATTGTCTTCCAGGAGGAAGACCGTCAAATCCTACTCAAAATGCTCTGGCAAGGGCAAACCCAAAACATGGAAAAGGTCAACAAGCTCGTTGCCGATGATAAGCGTATCATCGTTGGGGGGTTGACGAAGGACGGGAAGGGTGTTATTGAGGTTTGGCACAAGCAACCGAGCCCAGCGAGGAGTGGTGGGAATGGTGATATTACGACGGGTGGTGCAGCCCAGTGATTGCAATAGAGTATAGTAGTGTAGTATTGTGTCGTGTCTGTGGAGGAGGCATCATTCACGAAGAATGCGATTCCACGGATTTTGTCGCTTCCTCCTCCGCTATCTCCTTCTCCAGCTCCTTTATCCGCAACTCGTACTTGTTCCTCGCGGTCCGTAACCTTCTCAAAAACTCTTCGTCGCTGATAGGTTCTACACCGAAAGCCCGCACTATCCGGTTTCCAAGACGGACGTGCCAGCTGAGTTTCTCTTCCGCTAGTTGTTCGGGCGTGGGTGGTGCAGGTGGGGGTGCAGTTCTCTCTTCTGCGAGGTTTTTGATACGGGAAGCTGCTGCGTAGTTGAAGCCGTATTGGATGCCTAGGGCGATCGTAGAGGCGAGGAGTGCGCCGGGGATAATTGCTTTTCGGCCAGCTGATAGCGGGTCAATAACCCGTGAAGGAAGAGCAGACAAAAGACGCACATTTCCATCCTCGCATCAGTCCACCAGTGACTGCCCCACTTATTCCGGTGTCGAGTAGTTTGTTGGACCGTATGTCCGCTACTGAGCTTTCTTCCAGCGTCACTGAATCGCCTGGTTTGGGTATACCGCGTTCTTTCCTCCGGACGGCGTACTGGCGCCAGGGGGCGTTGTGTACCAGGAGAGGACTGACGATGAATTCTCGGAGTCCTATTGGGATTCTCGATAAATACCTTTTCGTGGGACAAGCGAGGCCAACTCACCGAAGAAAGTAGCGGCGGTCATTCCAGCGTTGACGCCAGCGAATCCAGCTGCGACCACTGGTAGAGGTTTACCAGCCATAGATGTTACAGCGCCTGCTATGGCTGCACTGACTCCTGCTATCCACAGAACGGAATGCAGTCAGTTGTCTGTTTTTGGCGGAAGAGAGTTTAAGGACGGACTTGCATGTTACTAGGGTTCCATAGACGACCGTCCATGGTGCGTCTTTCTCCATTGTTAAGACCAATTGTGGTTCGGGGAACCTGGCGGTAGATTCTGAGTCTGCAAACTGTGGTGGTGCGAGGAAAACCGCGACCCGTCGCGTCAAAGTTCTCGGTGTTGGCAAACACGGCCAACGCGGCGCTTGTTCTTGTACCACCACCACCCCCAGGGCGAACGAAACCTGATTAGCAGAATCGGCCTATAATGCCACCAATGTGTTGGACTATTCCTCTTGTTTTAGGTGCTGGACGCTGATCTCGATGTCCTTTCTATTTCAGTCGCGACAAGTTCACTATCCATTCAAAGGCGGTTGTGTGCCAGGATGTCGAAATGAGAGGCGATATCACGATTGGCGCAGGTGTGTGTGTGCTCCCCAGGACTGAATTTCAGACGCTAAAGGGGCCTATCTTGCGAGTAGGGACGATCGTGCATCCTAAGGTCACTATATTCGCGATTGCTGGACCAATTGTTATTGGGTCTGGGTGTATCATTGAGGAGGCCACTATCATTGTCAACAGGTTCGCTGGTTCTACAAGGGGCCATGGAATTTAACTGACGGGTCGACAGGAGAAAAGAAGTCATGCGAATAGGGGACGACAACCTCTTCGAAATCGGGTGTCGTACGTGCTGCTTACCCAAGTTCCATTCACTCACCCCTCACCACCCCTTGTAGGCGTCGAATGCCCCAGCGTAGGCGACTTCAACACCATCTCAACTCGCTCCCGGGTGCACCACACAGTCCGGATATCCTCGTTCTGCGTCATCGGTGCCGGATGCCTCGTCGTACCCATCGAAGATGAAGTCCTGGAGGATTACACAGTCGTCTACGGACCCTCTGCTGAAAGACGCAAATGGAGTGGCAGAGGCAAGATTCAGGAAGCGGATTTGAGGCATAAACACGCCGAGTATTTGAGGGAGATGTTGCCCAAATTCAATAGGTTACGAAGGGGTGATGGGGTATAATGTTCAGCTATGATACAGGTTATGTGCGGGAGTGGTATGTGCGTTATTTGTCCGTGCGCGTTAGTTATGTGCGATGATGTCTAACTATAATCAGTTCTCTTTTTAAGGTCTTCTTTAATTTACGTTTCTATCCGTGCTGCCCAATACACTTCGTCTTCAACCCATAGGATAGGGTTTCGGCGTTTCGGCGCTGGGGCATGGTTTTAGCACAGGCATGTTACGAATGAAGCCCCCCACGTACCATTGCAGCACCTCGGATGCAGCCCTCGCCGAAACCTTAGACCACCCGCTCGCCGTCCACCAATCATCCGAAATTGCAAACTCGATATCCATCTTCAACTTCTCAAGGCGCTCATTCCAGATATACCATTCGTCATTGTCCAGTAGCGGAAACCTCATGGGGACTTCGTGACCGTCCTCCAAGGAGACGTAAGGCAAGCAAAGCCTCAGCCGCTTCAGCGCCGGAAAACACGTTCGAGAAGCCAATTTGTACAAGTTCTCTTCCAACCTTCCCGGAGTTCGAACACTGGGGAAGAGTGAATTGTCACGAGGCAGAGAACCCTCCTTGAAGGAAACCATAACCGACTTGATTCGAGTAGGGACATGGGTGTACTTCCATCCTTTTTTGGCAAATGCCTCGTACGAGATTCCGAGCGATTGGAGCCTGTGCCACCCAGCGCTTCCCAGTCCTACAGGCACAGTGCGACAGTAGAGGTGTTGGAGTGTTCTGCGAACAATCCGCGGGAGGTTGGGAAATACCCTGTCGGTGGAGAGTCGGGGGTCTATGAAGACTGCGGATGTCTGGAGTGTGGGGAGGCGGAGGAAGTTGAGGTGTTCGGTGTTGGCGTGGTGTGGAAAGCTGGAGCCCTGTCCGGTGTATTGGAGAACAAGTGTGTGCACTCGGGGAAGGGTTACGGGGTGGTCCATGTGCAGAGCTGGCATCGTCAACCACAGCACCTCCAACGAGTCTAAATGTCGCCCCGTTTGTAGCGTGAACGCCAAGGTTGGACCGACATTGAACGGAAGACCCAATTCAAGCCGTTTCAAATATCCTGGAGGTATCGTCGAAAATACGGACAACAAGGCACCCAACATGGTGCTGTCAACTTCCTGTGGAACGATGAGTGCGAGTGTGGCGAGATTTGGGCAGGTGGAGAGGATGTTGCTGAGGTAGTCGGCTATTTCTCGATCTGTACATTGGATTACCAAATCGAGATCGAGGCACCGGAAGTTGGCGTCCCAAATGATGTCAAGGCGTTTAGTCGCGTGTGTTGGGATGCAGGCGTCGTTCATCCCGTCTTCCTCTCCTGCTCGACTCCCATCAGGGTCGAGCCGCATAAAGTCTATTAATGCTGAAAGTCTTTGTGCGCGCTGCGCACTGGTGATTGTTACGTGCTCGTACAACAGCGGTTTGCTGAGGTGGTGCCATGTCCTGCATACAGAATTGGTGGATAGGATGTCCTGGAACATCCCAGGTGGTGATTTGTTGATTAAACTGCTTTCATTGGTGATGATGTATTCGAGGAGCGTATCGGAATTTTGATTTGGGTTCTGTATCGAGTTGGTAGGATGGTGCTGGGAAGCGGGGGACCGTCTGCTTGAAGATGGGGCGGAGACGGTCCTCGGGGTGGTGCTGGCCGAATGCCAATGGGCTCCAGGATTCGAGGCCAGAAGCTCAAATATGTGGAGCCATATCTCGTTGGGAACGTACGAGGATTGGGGTACGTAAAAGTTGTCGATGTCTTCCCAGAACGAGATTGTGCTTTGCGGGGTATCGATAGGCTCTGTCAATGGCATCAGGAAAAGAGAAATGCTGTGGGAGCCGTGGCCCCACGTCCCCCACACCCATCCACGCCCTCACAACACGGTGTGGGACTAGACGGGGGTACGAAATTTCACAATCGGTTGTGGCGCCACGACAGCACTTGTGTGACCATAATGCATGGCCGTCCACAACATACCACACCTTGACACGACAATCCACATTTCATTTACATGCACGGTGTAGGCGAAAACAAACATAATATATTCAGAAATTGGTGTATGATACATGCGAGAGTATACATCAAGGTTTCTACAGGTTGAAATAATAAATCCGAGGCCCTAAAAACGTACCGGCAGACAGTCGACAGATCGACGGGCAATCCAAACATCCTACGAGCCATTGGGAATAAGTAGAAATAAATATCGGGACACATCCGACATACCTGCTGTTAAAAAGCCCTTCCTCCAACCCCCGTCCAACCAACGTCTATACTGGCGAAATCCGGAAATCTGAAGAGCCTCTACGCAAGGGTAAGGATGCATTATCCGCAAGAAGCCGCGGAGCACACACCTTTCGCTGAATCTTAACGCATCGGAGCCTCACGCTGCTACTTGTCTGTAAAGTTAATGGCAAGTCAATTTGGGCACCAGATCAAGACGAGGAATCAAGTACTTGCCACCGTATTCCAATCCCATACGTCCCATATGTCTGCTGCGTACTAGAGTTCAAGCCTGCACATAAGTTTATAGCTTAAGTTTGAGAGATCTGAGATTGGAAGAGGATGAAGGATGGTGGTGGTGGTCAAGCCGAACGACGAAGGAACGCGACAAACTTCGAACAGGAAAAATCAACATATGGTCATGTGACCGCGTCAAACATGCGCAAATCGAGATCCGCGCCTGGAATCCACTAAGTCGCGAGTACTATCCCTTTGTGAAGTCCTGCATCCAAAATACTTCATTCTCAAGAATAAACAACGTTCCTGGGTCAAATTTGGCCAGCATATATGCTACAGCCCTTAAAAAAAAAAAAGTACGTTGTGGCAATATGTGGATTGTGGAGGGCGTGAACGGGTGTGGAGGGCGTAGACTAATGTGATGGCTTATCAGCCACGGGCGCCACGACCTCCACACCCTCCACAGCGAATCTCTTTTCCTGATGGGTGGGCCTGGAACGACTCTTTCGCGTCTGTCTATGCGTGTTTGTATGGGTCTAATGATTCTCGAAATTGCCATGGGAAGCAGATGAGAAGTTATGAGTTGCCTGCAGCTCGTATGACTCTGGTAGCGTTGAAGGAAGCCCCTGCGGCGTGGTTAACGCGAGGCGCAGTACAGCTTTGTTTTGGGCTGTTGAAAAGTCGAGGAGGTGCCTCAGCTATATATAATGACGTAGGTGCATAGCACAAAGACCTGTATCACAAGCAGGCGCTCGTACTACACAGCGCAGCGGGCACAAGTGTGTATCGTCCAAGTCACTTCCAACCAGGCAGGGGTGATAGTGTAGGGCCCTTGTTTCAAACTGAAAGTCTTGACCAGGCATAGCGGCTGTCCGCTTTCCAATGGGGTACCATCAAAGTTAAAACTTGATTTGCAGGGCCTGTTCTCGAGTGTTACATCCGAGTGGCTGGTCGGTTTTGGTTTAGAAGTGACGTTAGCGTTTTGGGTTCAATTGTGCTCCTTAGCATGCTGTGCGTAGGATTGTACTCAGTCTCTGCCTAGGCTCTGTAGGCATTCGAGGCTAAATGATCATGATGTGTGACGTTCGAGGTTCCCCTGGTCAAACGATCGAAAGCCTATGAAACTCTTAATACAGCTATCAACAAAGTTTAGTGATACATACCCCGTAAACGTACTCGAGGCATGAAATGAATACGGGATCATGTTCCATAGTGGGATGATAATCCAGGTACACTGCCCTCTCCGAGCACCGAAACACTTTGGGAAGCTGTGTCCCCTGGTTACCTGGCTATGCATTCGTCGACGTCGTCCCATTTTTGCCTACGCCTTCAAGTTCCAGTCGACAGGCTGCAGAACCTTGAAACTGACCGGGACCGACTCTTCGAGAACCCCGAGTACATCTTCTCCTCCCATCACCCCGGCGCTAAATAACTTCCCCATATCCTACCAGCTGAGGCACCATCGTATTTTCTCTTCGTCGGTCCCCCGGCCTTCTTACAGCACATGCATAGGTCCTGGAATCTGGTAGGCACACCTGTGGCTGTGGACTGGCACATAGGGCTGGGCGTGGGAATCGATCAGACACGGTCACAATAGCGGCGGGCGCGTTTGTCGTCTCTTGACCGTCAACCACCACTGTCCTCAAAGGAATCTATTTCAACTTTCCACACGTCCTGCTCTCCAGACCTGAAAACATGAATACGAAACCCTCTGTCTGTCGGTTGTCAGATTTCTTCGAAGCTTACATGCCCAACGAAGGTCTCCAATCCCTCGACTCCGTCATTTCAGAATTGGAGAAACAGAAGATTCTTGCAACTCGCGCCCGGTCAGGGAATCAGCGACCATCGTCATTGACAGGGTCTCCGGGCTATACACACCTTCTCACTCCCTTCAAAGGCCTGTTCCGTGGTTTCACCAAGCCTCATCGTCTCATCAAGTCACTTCAACTAGTAGGAGACGCCGTTCGCAGAGCTTTGGCCATAGTCAAAGGAACAGACGTGAGCACGTGCTCTATTCGAGGATCAGACGCAGGCGACGCGCCCTTCTTGGATGCATATCTCACTGCCAACGCGCATTTACCCCTCCGATGTGCTGATGTCGTTGTCCCAATAAGGGCTATTGGCGCTAAGGCTTGCGGCGACCAGGTACGTGTCGTCAGACATCTCACAAATTCTTACTGAGTTCGATAATAGATGGAATCTGAAATTATTGCCCTTCTTTCTCGCATTATGAAAGAAGACGCTCGCCGAAGATTCATATATGCTGTGAGTTCATCTGACTAACGTCTTGTGGATACCGGTTCATATTTTACTATTCTCGCGTTAGATCACTATTGAGAGAAATCAAGTGTGGCTTTGGTATCATTCGCGGTCTCAGTGCGTTATAGCAGAACCATTTAGCCTGACTGAGGTACGTACCATCCTTCCAAATGACCGGCTCGTTGGTAACGAATGACAATGTACCCAGCATCCAGACCTGCTTATCAAAGTGTTGACTTGCCTTCTCTCGGCGTCCAGCGAACGGCTCGGGTATGATCCCCTAGTCACTTTACTCCCAGATTCTAGTTATGTCTACGAATTGCCACCGGACGGGAACCGGACGGAACCTCTATTCTACCAGACGGTGGAACTCCTTTCGCAGTTGCCCGCCGCAGACGTCGGTGGTCGCAGCTCCCGTATATGGAGAGTAAGGCAGGTGGTCTCACACGTCCACCCAGTGCATATGCCTGGAACGCCCGAACGAGTACTCAAAGACGTCACTTTGGACAACCACGTGCGAACGGAGGCTGACGCTCAACAGCAACTGTTCCGTGACATTATCGCAGTCTCAAGAGATGAAGCCTGGCGCAGCCGTGAAATCCTCAAAGACTTCCCAAAGCATCACCTGGACTCCCTCGCGGAGGCCTTGCGGGACGACAACTACAAGAAATTCTTTTCTTGTATCATCGCCAAATGTATTAGACCATGCACCATCTCGCCATCACTACCTCATTCCAATTGCACACACAAGCCAAAGCGTCGGTGTTTTTTCGTCTACGAGCTGGTCTGCAAACCTCTGAGCGACATTGCTACCCTCGGAGAGGCGGTGGATCTTCTCAAGCAAAGTCTGACCGGTAGGCACTTCGTCCGCACAGCTTGGTAAAGTCGCTTACGCATTTCATAGCCCTTCAAATCATGTTCTGCGCCGGTTGGGTCCACTGCGATGTCAGTTCAGGGAATATACTTGGTTTTCGAACGGGACAGGATGCCCGTTGGCAGGTCAAATTGTCCGACCTGGAGTTCGCGAAAAGGTTCCCTCCAGAGGGTGACGGTGTCGTCGAGGAATCAAGAATGGTATGTTAGCGATTCAATTTGCTTTTGAAACTGTGCTGAAATAACATAGGGGACACCTCAGTTCATGGCATGGGAACTGCAAAGTTCCCGACACTTTCTCCCTCCTACCACGGAGATTGGAATGGCCCGTCGCACCGCCCATCCCAAGAAGCCAGTAGTTCATAACTATCAGCATGACTTGGAGCCTTTATTTTGGATACTTCTGTGGCTGTTGACCATGCGATCCAAGCTCAGCCCGTCGCGCGCTTTCGGAGATCTTTTCTTTCAACAGACAGCTTCCCGCGTGCACATCGCAGCTCGAGGAAGGCTCGTTTCAAGTGAAGAAGGGTTAGTCGACGATCCTGACCTACCTCGTTCGCTTCCACCCCCTCTCCATCGCGAATCTCCCTTCGTCATGGCGCTGGATATCCTCAGAAGCGACTTATACGTAGAATATGTCACGCGAAACGGCACCGGCAGCCAGGATGATGTTGCCAGTTACTCGTGGATCATGAGCGAGGGCGTGTCCAACTTCTTCAGCGCTATAGAGGACTCGCAAAGGGAATGGAGTGATATTGAGCTGCTCGTTGATTCAGATACTCAACCTGCACATAGAGACGAAGACGACCACTTACTCCCCGCCGTGCCTCCGTCCACAAAGCGGAAGCCTGTCGAATCGGAAACTGGACATGACCAACAGGGCCCCCGGAAGCGACTCCGGCTGGTTTCGACGAACACCCCACCGCTTCCACAGCGATCTGGGCCAGTAACGAGGTCAATGACGAGAAATCAGGCCAACATTCGCCCCAACACAAGATCGGTCACTCGTCGCCTCCAGAAATCGAATGCGCAGAGCGGGCCAGCTAGTCCGACCCTGGCAAGAAAAACCCGTCGCTAGCCCGCGACTAACATCCGTGGGCGTATACATAGATTATATGTCGGCTTCCTTCTAACCTGGATTTTGATACCCGATCGCCTGTTCGAATGACATCCTGTTTCTTTATACCGATTCATTAGAGCCGCGTAGTTAGAGTAATATTGTTGGACCTTCGATGCAATGATAGATTTATGTTTTATGAATGCGCAATGAAGTGGATAGTAACTTGAATCGGATCTGCCCGCCTCCCCATCACCCCGCCTCTTTAGACAGCAATTACTGTCAACCTCCCTCCTCAGAACCTCAGCTACAGCCAGTCTCGCCAGTAATGGCCCATTGGTAGGGACCGACAAAGCCATTTCTGAAATTTGAATATGGCCCCATTGTCTTCCATCGCGTCAAGGGCATCGCTGGAGCAGTGGGAAGACAGTGACTGTAGGGTGTGGCCTGGTGTGACATCACCTCGGTGTCGAGTGACACTGGGTAACTTGGGGGGGGGGGGGGGGGGGTAGGGTGCTGGGTACTTATAATACTCATCCGGTGCTTTTCTTGGTCCAGGGGCAATAACGTACACGTACCAAATTTGAAGTCGTCAAGATGGCAGTGGATGTGGTAGCCGAGGCTGACTGTGTCTTTAGACTCCCAATATAGATGTTCATGTAAGGAGAGCAGGCCTTTGGGAAAACAGAGAGACAGAGAGGAGACCGCCATAAAAGGAGATCCCCTCAAGCCGACGGACAATGTGCACGGCAATAATGACCGTGGGAACCGTGTTCCGTGAGCAAACAAATAACCGATCACGATTTGTTGAATGCGACCCCCATCACTCGACGCGTCTTGACTCTCAACCACATTCTCGTGTAAGAAACTCTACATAAGTGTCGTTCATTTCAGTTGCTCGAGCTTCGGGGCTACCATGAAAGCCTCCACGTGTCCGATGTAAGTCATTTCTGTGTTCATACCAGCTCGAAGTCTCCCGCTTGCCACTTCTCGATGCTCACAGTATTCTCCTAGTACGCCTCCTCGCAATCCGGCGGGAGAGCCTGTCCGCGGACAGTTCACCGCTCCTGCACTTGGTACTTCACCACGCTCAGCCCCAAACCGACCCGACGTAGACAGTACCACCACAAACATGCGTATGGACATCGGTCGCATCATGAACTTCGAAATGTACATCTGCACGTACAATCAGTTCAAAGGAAGCTATCTACCGAAGTGTGATGAGGAGACGTTGGAATTTGTTTTGGAGTGTCTGAAGGCACTGGGAGAGTCACCTTTCAGCCAAATTCTCGTCCCTCGCGAAGAAGATGAAAGAGTTGATGCCAGATCTGCCGGGGAGAATGATAAAACGGTATCACTTGATGATAAGGAGACAGAAGAGGTTAGTGAGCGCAACGAAGCGGAGCCTGCTGTTCTGCTGGCAGAAGGCAATGAAGGCGACATAGGAGATTGTGAGAGCGAGGATGTTGAGCAGGGGTATATTTCCGACGAAGAAGGCGAGGGTGACCAAGGTGATGAGAGGAAAGGTAACTCGAAGCCGGAGATCTACTCTCACGTCTTCCGGGACTTCAAGAACAAGCCGTCCTTGTTGAAGAAGGGAGCAAACGCCAATCAGAACTCGAAGACCAGTTCGTCTGACAAGACAAAGAATCCCAACATTCACGAGGATAAGGTCTTCAACCCATTCGGCGAGATTGGACTCAGGATCCTAGCAGCCTTGGACAAGAAAGGTGTCAAGAGAAATGGGTATCACCTTCGCATGTGTCCACATACAACAATCTATTCCAACGTCCCCGGATGCAATCAAGAAATTGACGCTTGCTTGACGAAGAACAAATCGAAATCCCTTGATATTGCCGACATTCTTGTTCCTTGGGAACTCAAGTTGTCCTACACCATTGCTCAGGTCTTTCAGGTGAGTGTAGTCCCTTTGGCCTTTCAGCTGTATCGGCAAGCTCAAAATATTTTCTAGAATCGGCGACAGCTTGCGTCTCAAGTTAATCACACGATGAACGATGATCCTCGACGGAAATTCATGTTCGGAGTAAGTGTGTACCTCATCATGGTCTGACTTGTCCCTGATCTTACGGTGCCCCGTCCCAGATTACCATTGAAGATGACCGCGTATCCCTCTGGTTTTTCTCTCGGTCACATTCCGTGAAAGCGAAATCGTTTAGTATGGTTGAAGTGCGTTTCCGTAATTCATTTGGTCTCAGCCTTGGCTAATGGTATTTCAGCGACCTGATCTTCTAGTAGAGGTTCTTGTCTCGCTCTTGTGCGCAACAGACGAACAGCTTGGATTGGACCCTCTTGTTCATTTGACCGAGGACCGACGATACGTCTACGAATTTCCTCCGACCAGTACGCGGCCCAGTCCCATTTACTATCGCATTACGGAAACAGTCTCTGAATTCCGATGGCTGAGACTCATCTGCCGTGCCACACGCATCTGGAAGGTGATCCAGGTGGAGACGCCGGCCCATACCGAGGGCATTGAAGGGGCAAAGGAAAGAATCCTCAAGGACGTTTGCTCTGTGGCTGAATTCCTCACGGAATCCGAGATTCAGCACCAACTGTTTGGAGACATCGAAGCGTTTGCAAAGGACAAGGAGTGGCGTCAGAGGGAAATACTTCAGGAGTTCGTCGAGGAAGATATGGCCACCCTTGGTCAGGCATTGGAAGGCGATTTTAGGAGGTTCTTCTCCTGTATCATCGATGAACACATCGGAGAGGTTACCCCGCCACTTTGTGCTGGCGCATGGGTTGCCACAACCCCAGTGTTTATCGAGCCCCAGACCAAATCCCAAGAGCACAGCAAGAATCGGGCGGCCCCAGGTCATCGGGCAGACCCTAGACCCGAGGTCCTGCAGGACGAGCATGTTATTGTTGAGGAAATAGACCCTTCCCGGGCATTTGTGCCCAGACGCCAGTGTCGCTACATTTATGAGGAGGTTTGTACACCGTTAAACGATATCCCAACCCTGGGGGAAGCCGTCGACATCATCCAACAATGCCTTATCGGTATGTGGTCCAGTTCTGCATTAACCCCAGTCTGTCTTAGCTCACTTTTGGCTTTAGCTCTTCGCCTCATGTTCTGTGCAGGATGGGTCCATCGAGACATAAGCTACGGAAATATTTTGGCGTATCGCCCCTCGCCGGAGACACAGTGGCACGTCAAGCTATCCGACCTTGAGTACGCGAAGCGATTTCCTTCCGATGCTGTCGCTAGCACCATCCCCAAGACGGTTTGTCTCACATTCAATCTACTGGTGACCAACCCCGGGCCGTCTTCTGACAACCTTGCACAGGGCACACCGTACTTCATGGCATGCGAAATCTTGACTGGGAAGTTGATCACCAGCGCCGCCGCAAGGGAGCCAACTTTAAAGCGGGGCGGTATCAGACGCAACAAAGTTGTGAATATCAGCATTGTCTTCCACACCTACCAGCACGATCTGGAATCCATCTGGTGGATTTTATTTTGGAAGATAACGATGCGAATCAAGCAAGTTCTTCCAAGGGCTGTCCCAGAGCAGTACTTCAAGAACGTTATCAGTCGCGCCCATGCATCATACCGTAACGACCTTTTCGTTTCTCGCCAGGAACTTGCAGAGGACAATGACCTTTGCAAATCGCTTCCACCGACATTAAAGGACTCTGACTTTCTCTATTCCCTGGACGCCCTTAGAAACGAGTTCGAAGTGGAGTATTCCAATCGCAACATAGCCGGCAAACAGCGCGAGGTCGGCACATATTCCGTCATTATCAGCAAGGCGTTTTGGAAGTTCTTTGAAGGCATCAAGGATACCAGGGGTGAATGGGGGAGCCTCCCATTGATAGTTGACGCGGACCTACGTCGAGCTAAAATGCTTCTACAGAAGGCACCCACAGCGACGAAACGTCAATTCAGCGAGCTTCACCCAGGTCTTAAGGGTAATATGCCTGCTAAATCCAGCGCAGAACCTGTAAAAGGCGTGATGACAGCGACACACGGTTCGGGTTCAAAGCGGAAGTGTCTCTGACGACGGATAAAGGAGCGGCCTCGAGAGCCAATACGAAGAGCACTGCCAAAATCAGTGACGAGGGCGACGAGACAAGGCCATCGAAGAAGGCTCGACGGTGAATATCTTCTTCAAGCACGGTTGAGGGATGCATGATGTCAGTGAGGGTTCGCCAGTCGTTGCCAGTTCATGCATTGGTTGGTTATTCAGCGCATGGAATAGCTTAGGTCTGGGACTGGGACAAGCTCGGACTCTTCTCGTATATATCCTTTATCCTACTTGAGTAGTGTTGTACTCGGGCACTGTGGTCATTTTACATAAGAAGTCCATTGCGAATGCTACATGTATGAGCGTGACGTGACGTTCAACGAGGTTCCCCTGGTCCAACGATCGAACGCCTATGAAACTCTTATTACAGCTACTTATCAGCAATTGATACCCTGTAAGCGTACTCGAGGCATGAAATAAATACGGGATCATATTCCATAGTGGGATGTAAACCGGGTACACACCCTCTCCAGCGAGTCCACCGAAGCCCTTTGGGAAGCTGTGTTTGTTATATACCCGGTCCATCCATTAGTCGTCCTCGTCCCAATTCTGTTACGTGTTCCAATCGACAGGCTGCAGAATTTTGAGACTGCCCGGTGACCCTTCGAGAACCCCGAGTACATCTTCTCCTCCCTTCACCCCGGCGCTTAAAATAGCTTCCCCACATCCTATCAGCTGGTGCACCATTGTATCGTCTTCTTCGTCGGACCCCGGCCTTCCCACAGCAAATGGGTGCTGGAGTCTGGTAGGTCCAGTAGATATGGTCTCTCCTTTAGAGTTGCTGCCGCGGTCTGGCGCCAAACGACCACTTTGCTGTCCTCCAAGAACGAGATGAACGGGATGTTCAAGTGGTGAAGTTTCATGTCGACGATGTATGGCTTGAATAGGGTCAGAAGCTCCTGGTTGCCGTCACTCTTTATCCATTCCCAGTGCGAGCTGGCGTCCTTCCATCCTGAAATTAGGTAGACTGTGTCTTCGATCTGGGGTTCGGAGTAGTAGAATAATGGGAAGCCCGACCAGGCAGACTGTCGGCTTATGACAAGGTTGAATAACCTGGGAAAGGGGTTGGTGAGGATGGGTTGGTTGAGTTTAAGGACGGCGAGTTCTGTGATGGACATGACGTATGTACTCTAAAGTGCACAAAGTCGTAATTAAGGGCCCAGCAGGATTACGCGTCTGGAACGCGTGGAGCATGAAGCCCCTATTGCTGGCCCGAGTCCGCGGCCAAAACAGCGTCGTGACCGTGCGACTTCAGTATGCCGCGTGATCAAATGATCGGGGAACCTGGTGCGATGCCAAGCCAAATACGGAATCCTCTCATCTGCTTAAACTCCACGGTCGTTTCGGCAAGCTCACGAGTACTTATAGCAACGACTAGACGTTATCTATTCTTTGTTCTTTTCTCTCTCAGCACCATCGACTATGACCAGAAACCCAACAACCAACGCACCAAGTTCACTACAAGACCTTGTCGACTTGTTGAAGGATGATGTCAAGGTCAAGGTAGCAGGTTGAACCGGTTCTTCTATTGTCAAAGTCATCGAGCGGCTGTACTGATCGACATTGATTATAGGAGTCGACGGTGAGGACATACGAATGCCTCTACCATTGCCATTGAACCAATACAATCGCAATATTCCCGTTGCGAATGGATGAAAAGTGGATGGGATACTTAGAGGGAAATTCATGGTACGTTTGCTCTGCTCTAGATCCCGGTTCAAAGCGCTAAGCACTATGTACAGTCAAAAGAGAAGTTTCTCGGCGCAGCCTCGTCAGACGGCTTCGGGTTTTGCAGTGTCGTCTTGTACGTCTGCCAACCTTCCTCAAAACGCTGGCTTATCTCCGTTCACGTAACCGTCTTCATCTTAGTGGCTGGGACATGCACGACACAGTCTACTCGCGCGAACTCTTGATTTCCACCAAAGCTAACGGATATAGAGACATCATTGCATCTATAGATATCTCGACCTTCAGAAGAATCCCATGGGAAAACAATGTCCCCTTCTTTCTGCTTTCGTTCAACGACCCAGATACAAAGAAGCCTCTTCCCGTCGATCCGCGCGGAACGTTGCAGAAGACGATGGATCAGGCGGAGAATATGGGTTTTGTACCGTATGCGGGCGTTGAGTACGAAGTGAGTGCAGTTTCTGTTTGGTTGTCTTAGCGCTTATTGGGAGACAGTACTTCAATTTCAAAGGTATGCTTATCCCAGGAGTAGCACGAAGACCGAGTGCTCACGCGAATCATTGAAGAAACTCCGGAAAGTGCGTTCGACAAGAAGTTCCATGGACTGCAGCCACTTACACCGGGCAGTAAGTGCACCAGTGACTGTTATCCTCATATTCTGCTCAACCAATATCCTCAAGTGCACGGCTATTCCCTTCTCCGAACTCAACTCAACAACAAATACTTCCATGAGCTCTTCGACCAATCTCTCGCATTTGACGTCGATATTGAGGGCCACCGTACGTGTCCGCATGCAATTTCCCTTCCCCAGGCTCATACCTCCCATTTTACAGACACCGAGACTGGACCTGGGGTTCTCGAGACCGCGTTAGCCTATACGTCCGCCCTCCGGATGGCAGACAACGCCGTCCTGTTCAAGTACCTTGCGAAGAGTGTCGGGATGATGAATGGCATCATACCAAGCTTCATGGCAAAACCTTGGGCCAACGTACGTGTCTTTAAGGCTGATCAGATGGAACAGGTAGACTAACACTGTTGATTGGTAGCTCCCAGGATGTAGCGGGTAGGCTACGGTGGATGTTAGGCTACTCGCAAGGATGCTTAAGTTCGTTCTTTAGGCATATTCATGTGTCCATGAGGGATGCAGAGGGCAAGAGAAACCTGTTTGCTGTCTCGGATGAGGAGCTCAAGACAGGTCGGACCGGTGCTGCGAACGAGGATACCAGATTCATCAGTCAAGAAGCAGAATGGTTCCTCGCTGGGATCCTCGATGGTTTAGCTGACAGTAAGAGCCTTTTATTCTCCTCTTCGGGAAACTCGCTGAACCTCCACTTTTCAGTTATGCCAACTGTAAGCCTTTCCTTTCCCTCCAAATGTCTGCCCTGACAACACTCCAGCTGGTCCCCAATATCAACGGCTACAAGCGCCTTGTTGTCGGTGACGCTTATTGGGCGCCTAACGCTGTTACATACGGCTACGACTCCCGAGCAGCCTCTGTCCGCATCATCTCCCCGCCTTCCTGCCCGCCGGCCGCAACCCGCTTCGAGATTCGCGTTCCAGGAGCGGATATGAACGCTTACTTTGCGCTGAGCGCAATCTTTAGGCTTGGTTTGAGGGGAATCGAGAAGAAGCTGCCCTTGACCATCTTGCCCATCTCCAAACATGAACCTGAGGACCGGGTGAATGGAAAGGTGCGTACCCGTTTCGTTTGTGGGCTGTATGACCTTGGTTGGCTCATGGTGACCCGCTTGATACAGATTCAGATGCTACCGCTCTCACTGGAAGCTGCGACGGCGAGGATGATGCGCCCTGAGAGTATAGCTCGCGAAATCTTTGGAGATGAATTTGTCAATCACTATGGCGGGACGAGGGAGCATGAAGTTAGGTTATGGAATGAGGCTGTGACGAACTGGGAAGGTGGGTCCATGTACTTTTTATCTACACGGTTCTGAATTGATTCGTCTGTTATAGTGGAACGATACCTGGAGCTAGCGTAAACGAGGAGCGGTGTCAAAACCTGCAAGATGCTGTACTTTGTAAGATGATTATGGCTGGTGTACTCATAGTTTACTGCGGGGTTCCTTGCGCTCTAGTACTTAGTGCTTATTTGAACTGAAATTGTCACGAAGATTAGCGTAACATATGGCAACCAGTCAGGTATGTCATTAGGTTCCTAGAACGTATAATACACGGAGACCTGCAGCCGAGCCCCTATGGCAAGTTTCGAAGTTCTACGAGGATATCTGCTTGCCAATGCTTGTTGCTGGCCACGTTCATAATCCTCCCTAGCCTCAGGTCCGTAAATTTGATACCATCATCACCGATCCTCCACTTCGGCTCGGTACAGATTTCACCTTCTTTTTGAACTGTGGAGAAAAATCTCTTGAACGCCATTGTAACTCGATTTATAAACTCAAGCCTGGTCACAGACTTTCCATCGGCCTGCTTGCACGTCAAGCTGGAAGTCCTGCCTTCGTATCCGGGCCAAAGGATGTGGAGATGCACGACGCCGTTTCCAGCGCGGTCAATGTCCTCGATTGCGGGGTCGTCTGGATTCTCGATCATCTCGGGGGGAAACTCGCCGTACATATTGAGGCATTTGAAAGGCAACCCTCTAGAGACCGTTGCGACATGTGGGAGGGGGTCCGAGGCCTGACTTTTAGCTTGGTGAGCGCCTTTTAAAGTAAAAATGGCTTGGGGAACACGAATGCATAGTGGAGTTCCTGGAGTCACGAAACCGAGGGCTCCAGAGAGAGAGCTATCGGAGGAGATCTGGGAAGGGTCGATAAGCTGGGACATATTGCTGGAGTTGGAAAGCGATGCTAGTAGGAGTGTCCAGCAATGGGCAAGAAAATCTGGGGGGAGAGGCCATTCCGTTCCTCGCCTTTATATAGTTTTTCTCGGCTATGTAGTTTTCCTGGGAAACGGGCCTCTGGCTCACAATGGTCGTCCAACAATGGACGCTTCTCTGCCACAGCGGAGTAATGCCTGGTGCGCTCTGAGGGACAATGTACATGGGCGGCTCCGTTTGAGGCGTCTCCGGAGAGCCCCTTTCAGTGACTTCCTGGAATGCTGATAATTAGTTGTTCTGTTTGTGTTCCATGCGAAAGCTAGGTTTTGCGGGCAAGTAATGCTTTTTGCAAAAGCATAACGTTCCTCGGCGACCAGATGATGTGGGATCATGAATTGGAACTCCGAGCTGACCTGGCGCTTAATAGTAAATACTAAGTACTACTTTTGGATGGTGAAGGCAGCCATTGCCATCGCAGTCCTTCAAACACGTCACAGACTCAGGAATAGTCGTTACCGACATTCACTACTGTCAAGACCTTGCCACGGTGTCACATAATTTTTACTTGGCGTGTCCGGCCAGTGAGTGGAGTATATACGAAAAGAATATGATGGGATTAGGAGATTGGAATAAACGTCGTGAAAAAGAGTGGGATCACCTTCGAAAGAGTGGGATGGTGGTGGAGGGGTGGCCTCTCTCCATTTTCAGCATCTTCAACGTCATATTATTTGGAAGAAGGCGCGCAACATACTATTCCCTTCCCCAACCCTTTTAACTACCCAACCCCAACCCCTAAACGCCCAACCCCTAAACCCAACTCTAACCACCAACCCTCACCCTAACAGCTGCGCTACGCGCAGATAACTAATCCTGACTCTAACGGCCGCCCTTCAACGGGCGGCACGGAGACTGGGCGGGATTGGCGTCACAACACGACGAAAAGAGTGGGATGACGGCTGGGATCCCACTCTTATTCCCCCATCCCACTCTTTTTGGGGCAATCACACTCTTTTCGACGCAATATCATTTTGAATCTCCAATCCCATCCTATTCTTTTCGTCATCTCCCCAGTGATTGAGTGCTAATTTATGTCGCGCTTCGATCAGACAGAAACACGGCACTGCACCACACATGCAGCGACCTACTCAGGGAATCATGTCAGATGAAAGTAGTATTGAATGAGAGGTGTCCTATTGAAGGTTGCAAGACACACTGTGGCTCAGCGTCAAGCTCATAGTTCTTACTGGGCGATTCCTTGCTCACTAACAATGGCGCTTCAACTTGGACGAAGAACATCACGAATTACGTAGCATAAAACATAATGGCATACGATCAGTAGGTATTCATAAATGCATAACACATATTGCATAATATGGCTGCGTTGCAGCCGAGGGCCTATGGTTAGTTTCTAAGTTCTACAAGGATTTCCGCTTGCCAATGCTTATTGGTGGCCACGTTCATAATCTTCCTTAGCCTCAGGTCTGTAAATTTGATACCACCCTCGCCGATCCTCCACTTTGGATCAGTACATATTTCACCTTCTTCTTGAACAGTGGCGAAAAACTTGTCTAGAATCACTATGACTCGTTTTATAAAGTCACGCCTGGTCACAGACTTTCCATTGGCCTGCTTGCATCTAAACTCGTAGGTCTTGCCTTCGTATCCGGGCCAGAGGATGTGAAAGTAGGCGAGGCCATTTCCGACACGGTCAATGTTCTCGATTGCGGGGCCGTCTGGGTTCTCGATCATCGCGCCGGGAAGCTCGAGGGGTCTAGGGAGGCACTTGAAGGGTATCCCATCTCCCCGGACCGTCGTGACAGCTGGGATGGGGTCTTTGGCTTGAGATTCAGTTCGTCGCTGCTCCTGTTGAAAGATGAAGAGACCTTGGGGAACACGGACGGATTGCTGAGTTCCTGCGGTCGCGAAGCCAAGTGCTCCGGAGAGAGTGCTGTCTGAGGAGAGCTGGGCGGGATTAATGACTCGGTACATGGTGTCGTATGGTTTCTGGAAAGGGAGAGCAGCGTTGGAGAGTCCAGTAAAAGCTACAGGAAAGCGATATTGGAGCAGATAGGTGTTTTTCACCCCCTTATATATGCGTTCAAGTTCTCGGTGTGCGCTTGGACACAGCGATTGTTTCTGCCGCAAATTGCCACAATGAACCTTTCTTTAGTCTCTGCGTCAAAGTTCAATCGTACCGGCGTACTCTCAGCTGCCATCCCCAGTAATTGGCCAACTACCGTTTGGGGTGCCATATGCAACCGGCGCCGCGGCAGTGCTTGGACCGTAGAAACAATCCTGAAGTGTGCATCTCCCATCCCAATGAAAGCGAAAATCGACAGTTGGAGGACAATGGAGCTTGAAAGTACCTGCCTTCCCATACAGTGGTGACGCTTTTTCATCAGGAATTCAGCATACTTTTGCACCTTTTGCACCTTTTGCACTCTGCGCACGGCGCTTTTGAAGTTAACACCACTCTCCTCACTTTACTAGCGAGGGTTTCTCCAAGACGAAAATAGCGGTCTGGAGGGCATGGGCGTCCAAGGATAGCACTTGCCAGTGACGTTTTGGAACACAATAGTAATTCGTAAATCCATTCGAACGTTTTGACCTTTGGTGAGATCGCTGGACATTGTCCGCCCTGGACCGGCGCTTAATTAGTCAAGGCCCGCGTACCACATTGCAACTTGTTCAATGCCCAACTTAGCTCTCTGTCACGGTGTACCGAGTAGAGAAAGCTGACATAATGTCGCTAATTCAGAGTTCATTAGCGCTTTTCTCATCGAAACCTGTTTCAATAGCCAGGGCGAGGGACTAATATATTGAGCGCAAAAGAATGTCGTCAAGAACTCTCGTGCAGGCCGGACGGAAACACGATGATTGTTATACACATATGGAAGCACTACTGACTAGGAGAGGAAAGGTGAAGGAATGTCCGATGATACTAATGTACAAGAAATGAATGGCTTCTGCATTTGACTCTCCATACGCTCGACCCACGCTTTACTTCTGCTCTCGCTTACGGATAATGGTATAATTGTCCGCCTCAGGTCCAGCAGGAACAGCCTCAATGTCTCCCGGAATCAATCCGTGTTTCAAGGGCATGTTCTCCCTCCTCATTTCACGGAGCTGGTCAATCTCATGCGAGAGGAACCCATGTCCGGCAACGGGACCGAAGTAGGACGTTCCGGCCAGAGATCCAATGATGCTATCCGAGACAATTCCAGTCAGCCCGTATTCGGTTAACAGTAATTTAAAAGACTAACCAGGTTCCGACCAGGATCGAAAGATAGAATCGGTACTGGGAGTACCATTTGGGTGCTACGAAGAGCCGGCAATCAATACTTATTTACAGCGGAAAGGTAGTGGCGAAACACTTACCCCATCCAGCCACAGTCGCTTTCGAGTCTACATACCAGAGGCCGGTGTATCCAAGCCACTGTACACAGAGAGCCTCCATGGGTTGCATTCCAAGGGTGCTCCACGCGACCACCATAGGGACCGTTCCAATCGCCAGTCTCGTGTACCCCTTATGCCCACCGTAGCCCGCCATCTCAAACCCCCAATGGAGGGCACCTACATGTCAGAAAAGATCAGCAGTCTGATTCCACACAAACTGTCTTTAGACTCAATGCGGACAGACCTAGGAACGACAACATAACGGCTCCGTAAGTGACTTGGAAGTTGAGCGCTTGGTCGAGAACAGTTGCCGCTACTCCGGGGTCGATGCCTACATCGACTCCCGAGGCGGCCAACTGGGCTTCCCTCGCCAGATAAACTGTAGTCCCCGCTGCCCCGATGTATGGTAATCCGCCTACAAATTCATCGCGGTTGCAATTAGCATATCAGGACTACGACGTCGTCGGTTGAGACGAGTCCCGACCAGCTCGGCGAACACACACCTGCTAATCCCAATACGAGGATGGGCTCAGGAACCTGAGATGCGACTTTAGTCGTAATCCCAATCTAGTAGACGCCCGTGATAGCATCCACGACGACGGTCCAACAGAAAGGTCAGCCACAACTTCGATCTCTACGGGGTGTCAACAAGCTTAACGTACGAACGAATCGCCAGAATGGTCGATAACAGAATCTCTGGTGAAATTAGCGCCCGCGATGGCCTTGGCCATATCAGAAGCTGAATTGCCTAATTCTTCTTTGATGTTGGTTGCTGCATGATCCAAGGTCTGGCTTCCGGGTCGCCATGATACTGAGCTGGCGACAGAACGGAATTGAATCAACGGAGGTTTCAGAATGGCATCGGGGGTGCTGCGTAGAGGGCGGAGAGCCGACGTCGGAGGGCGGTAGTTGGCGATCCTGAAAGGGGTGTGGCGGACGAGGCCTGTGCGGAGGATGGGTCGGAACAGCGAGCTCATGGCTGAATATCGAAGATGAAGGATGGATGAGAATGAAAAGGGGTCGCAAGAGGGCTATATACCTCGAAAACCGTGGAGAGTTTCATAGTACGTGACGTCACCCCGAAGGTCCAATAATAGTCTCCACAAATTCCATCGACTGTCGACTAATGTACAACTAGATTTACTATAGGCTAATGGGAGCGCAAGAAAAAAGCGAATTACTTCTGAAGGTATAGCATGTGTGCATATACTAGATGGGCCCAAAGGCAGCATATGGTGCTGGGTAGAAGGTCGAAAGCGATGATCGACGTTATGTCGTCATATACATGGCGAAAGGACTGATCGACGAAAACAAAGGTTAATGCGAATAGGCAAAGAAATAGCCAAAGAAGATGCGTGACAGAGATGTCGTTAGGAATCCGAATAGTGACTCGAGGATAGATCCTTTGGACTGCTCGGCCCTAACAAGCGCCCAAACCTCTTCATCCGAAACGGGACCCTTCCCGTCCTGTGCCTTGACCTTTTGCTTCTTGGTGTCCGCGTCGGAGGATTGCGGGGGCGGTGTCGGAGGTGGTGGCGGCGGTGGAGGGGCAACAGTCAACAGTTTAACCAAACGGTGCTGCTTGATTTCTTGGCCTTCATCTCCAAAATATCGACGCGTCTGGAAACTCCAGTGAAGTGACCTGGACCAAACGGGTTAATGCGTATTCAATGCGGACCCGATACGCGACACTCCGCAGGGTGCTAGGACGGGCCAGAACCTGAACAATACTCACCCAACAATCCAATCCTCTAGACCCTGAACGTATTTTGCGACCATGTCGTCGATTTCAGGTCCCCATGATGGGAGCTGTTGTTTGTTCTCGCAAAAGGTGTTGATGGTCTGTTGACAGAGGGATCCGACGTAGTCGACGGCGCTCTGGAGGGTATGGCCATGGTGTTCCATCAGAATTATGATCATGTTGTGAGTGTCGCCTTTAGATTGTTCAACGTTGTAGGAGAAGATATCCTAACGCCGTTTTCGTTAGATACCAGGTGGACGCGGCGCAGGTTAGCCAGCGGAAGGGAGGAACTACAACTCACGTTCGACCAAGTTACGAGATCATTGGTGCCTTGGTTCAACGCGGCGATAACAGGATGCTCAACCACAAAGTCAGGGAGGTCGATGCCCAGCGCATACCTAAAGTGATAACGGTAAAACGTATTAGCCACCATAGACGCTCAGGAACGGAACGCAGATGAAAAGGTTAAACCCACTCAATGAGCACCCAACAAGGCTTACAACCTGTAAACGGACAATGAAATCAATACATGTTCAGTTAATTGATTGACAGGTCAACACAGGTCAGGGCAGGGACACAAGGGTATAGTGTCAGATGGGGGTAGTATGGGTATATGATATGGATGGTAAAGCAAACGCTGAACTCACCTGAAGTATCCCGCCTGACATCGATATAGGACTCTAGATCGGGGATAACACCCTCATCACGAGCGCGTGCTTGAATATTGACAGCTTCAAAGAAAGACCCAAAAGTCTCCTTGAAACGAGCTTGCGTTCCAGGTCCGCAATCTGGAATACACCGTGACCAAAAACTGTGAATGGTAATGGAGAGTTCAGGGGCGATTCGTTCTTTGGGTTGGACAGTACGCACTCTCTGGCAAGCTTTCCAGGGTTGAGCTCTTCCGCAGCCTGGCCCTTGGTTGGTCTGTAGTCTTCCGGGAACCAAAGAGCGTTCATGACAACGTCGGCCAACACGGCCGTCTCGCGTGTCATCATGCCATCGCTAATGTTATCACTGCGTTTGAAAGTCAAAGTTAGTGAGACGCAAATCGACAAGAGAGGTGGGAGAACGTACAGATGGAAGAGATAGTTCAAAAAGTCGGCGACGACGCGTAGTCGCTCGGGGGTGGTGTAGGGGTAGCAATACCCTGTGAGCTCGCCTGCTTGGAGTCCATACATCGCCTTTCGTTCCTTCGCAGTCAAGTCGGGACAGTTGCTGTCCAACCAATGGACGGTTTGCTTGGCCACTTCATCTCCCTTGGGATGGTATCGGAGGGGGAAAGGACAGTGTGAGACGAGATCAGGGAGGATGAAGGATGCGGGGCTCTCATCAGTGGTGAGAGAAGACGAGGGCGTCGACATGGTGGGGAGGGGTAAAACTTTGACGGTACCGAAGGTTAAGAAGGGGGAGGGAACGTGTTCGAAGGGGCAATACCCTGGGACACGATGCAGAGAAGAAGCAGAGAAGAACGAGGAACGTCTCGGTCTTGGGAACGGGTCCTTTTTATTCACGAAGTGAGTGCCGGGGATATGTCCAAGAGGGTTGGTGGCTCTGGTATTGCCGGAAGAGATTGGTGGAAGTAAAATCGTGGAGATGGAAAGCGCCGCCCCATGCAGATAGATCTCGTTCTAAAACTCTTGGGATCTAGACGGGGCAAGTATGTCAGAGATATTTTCTATTCTGTTTATTTTCCCCCCTTGACTGGGAAGCTCATTTGCGGTAAAGGGGCATCATGCGAGTTCTTGGAAGGCCGACAGGGCTGTAGAGTAAACTCTGGCCAATGGAGAAAGCTGGATGACGGCATGCCAAAGGGGGCATGGCAGAGATTAGATCGATATGAGTCGCGAGAGGACAAAAGGATGTGGATATTCCCAAGGTTCCATGTTGGGACCGTGCCTCCCTCCAACGCGATGGTGGAATAGACGCCGAAGCGGTAACTAAATTGGGCCCTTCTGAAGCGTCCCGGGCCGTGAAAAAGGAAAACAGGTGGAAGGCTCATGGCCAACTCATGTTCATTGGTCTCCAAAAGTTTCTTTGAAGATTTAAGAAGAGGCACGTTTTACCCAACCGATCGCGAGAACTCTCCGAGAAGAAAAAACAGAGATATTATCCCGCACTCACACTCAACACCCAGCCCAACCAAAAGATGGTCATGAGACTTGTCGTTTGCGTATGCCCTCTATGGTGACTTGTTGCCTCCCTGATTGGGATCAAACGGAATGATGATAAGATTTGAAACACAGACTATATAATGTCGTTAAACTTACCCTTTTGAATCCGTAGGCAGATCTTGGGGAATGGAGGCGAGATCGTCCAGGGCCAGAAAAAGGTGGACAGAGATGGATATGGGTGGTTGGTGATGCAATGCATGGGCACGCGAGGCCCACATGCCCCGGATGGCCGGAATGAGTTGTGAGCTTTCCCTTGAGCGTGTCGCTACGACCCTGGCTATTGTTGTCCTGTGCATTCGTGGTCGATATCCGGTAATGCTAAGCGATGAATGAGGCGGCTAGTCATCCACTTGATATCCCGTGAACTCCATTGGAGAGGAGCCATAGGGAGCCATCACAGTGACGGAGAAATGGCAAGAAATGGGCATATTGCGTCGGGCCGTTTGCGAGTAGTATCTCCAGGGGGCGGGCGGCGCATCTAGCATTTCGCCGCCACTAATTCGTCGGGCTGGACAGAGGTCAGGGTTTATCAGCGCTCATCGCACAAGGCGTTGAGAACAAATGGTCGGACCTGTACTCATGTCCGAGGAGCACATGTGAGAACGAGGGACATGTTGTCAAAAAGTGCCACAGAGCTACGGCACCCGCCAAGATGAGATATGGTAGTAGATCTATGACGACGTAGAGGCAATAAGTCCTGGAACATGAACCTAGATCGACCTGTGCACTGCACATACCTGGCCAGCTTGTTCCGAAAGTCAATTGGACGTGTAAAATTGCCTGTTCTTATTCTGGGACGCGTCGACATGGTACTGGTGCTGGAACTTGTGATCTTCCTGCACCCAGGCGTGTTCAGGAACGAGAAGTTCTGTGGGACAGGTCTCCGTCTGTCCCCGTCCGCGTCATGAGAAACTATCGCAACAACAGTCGATTGTCCCTGGAGACATGTCGCATTGGACTCTCAGGCGTCAGGGTTATTGGGGCAACTGGGTTCCGAAAAGCGAGGGTGGGTGAAGCGGTTGTCCATGGTTCGGAATGTCGGGCAGGGTCCAGCGCCGCTTTCTTCGCCGAGTCAATGTCCAACTGTCGCCGCTGGCCCGTTGCAGCAGAACATCAAGTTTCCACTGGATCTCTTTCTTCCTATTGAAATGAATTTTCTTCGCTTTCCCCCGACCGGAATTGCATCAAGAGTGTACCGAATGACCTGAGCGTCGTGACCTGGTCGTGACATGGATTTCATGGACAAGGTGGAAGACAGAGAAATCGCTAGAATGTCGTGGAAGTGGGAAACGCCGGCAAACAAATACGGGCGGGTCGCCATCAATTTGAGCCACGATATTCTCTTTCCCCAGTCTCTGGTCACCGCCGCACCCCCCGTCTTTCAGCTCAAAAACCCACAAAGTCAGCAGCGACAATGGCTCTCCCACCATCGACCGCCAACTGGCACTGGAAGAACAAGAACGTCACTCCCTGGGCCAAGGACTGGCTGTCGACAGAACTCACCACCGTCACCGTCACTGGCGACAATGGCGAGTCGGCTTCCATTTCTGAAGTCACTTCTGTTGAAGGAGATGTCGAGTTGGGTCAGAGGAAGTCAAAGTAGGGGGAGCTTGATTCGTTGTCCTGTTCAGATTTTTCTGATGTTTTGCTGTAGACTTTTGACGATCTTTGATGTCGATGTGCGGTTGAAGTGGAAAGGCAAGACCAGCAGCGGAACGGATGTCGAGGGAACTCTGCAGGTGGGTAGATGGTGATTGTAAGATTCTGCGCAGAATCTCAATATCGTGGTTAGATTCCAGAAGTGTCGCACGAAATCCTTTGTGACAACCTCTCCGAATTCGAGGTAAGCAATTCCGTCCGTCTTCGAAGCATTCGTTCAATTCTCATTTATTTTCAGTTCAAATGGTCTCTTAGAACTGCATCGAGTCCAGAGGTCGATGCCGTTTTCAAACTCGCCAAAACCCGTCTGGCCAGCGCTCTCGAGACCAAACTGGCTGTCCTCCCCAGCACTATGATCGAGGTTCACGGCAAGGACATCTACATCTCTGGCAGCGGGGCCGCTACTCCTGCAAATGGAACCGCTACTCCCCCTGCTCCCTCGACCTCTGCTGCGGCTGCTGCCCCAGCCCGCGCCCCCGTTGCACCTGTCAAAAAGGCCGCGTCGAAACCTGCCAACACCTCCACCGTCACCGTCGAGGCTACCTTCCAAGCTGCCGCTGACGACCTCTTTAGCCTCCTCACGGATGAGAAGAGGATCCCTGCCTGGACCAGGAATGCCGCTGTGGTGCGTCAACCCATCTCCACCTTGATTTAATATATCGACTGATGTACGTTCGTATGATATAGTCGCAAGCTAAAGCAGACACGGAGTATTCCTTGTTCGGTGGTGGCGTGAAGGGCAAGTATGTGTCGTTGGCGCCGGGCAAGGAGATTGTCCAGACGTGGGCTCTGCAGTCGCCTACTTGGCCTCAGGGTCATGAGGCTACGCTGACCACCACCTTCGACCAGTCCACTGATTCCACCAAGGTTACGTTCAGCCTTGCGGGAGTTCCGACTGGTATGGAGGACGAGCTTAGGAGGAACATTGAGGGTTACTAGTAAGTTTCATTTCGCTTTTCTTTGTCCTCTTCTGAATGCTGACCACTACTCTTTCTTCCTCTTCTTCACTCCCCCCGTCTTGCAGTGTCCACGGCTTCAAATCCATCGGGTATGTAGCTTTCGTTTCTGCTGAACCTGTTTATTCTTCAGATTATGTTCGTGAGCGGCAGAAGCAGAAGCAGTCGCGGTCTGTGAAGGCCAAAGCGGAGGAGGCAGAGGAACCACCGCCGAACTTTATGATGCAAACCGCTATCATCGGCGTTCTCGTTCTCGCCGCTGCGTTTGCCATTCCCTATCTTTCTTCTTCATCTCTGCCAAGATCTTCTTAGTGGGGCCCCCTTTCGCCAACCCTTCTCGTCTCATCATATACCCATGGCCATCCACATATCTTTCCTCCAGCCACCCTCCTATCTGCTATCCCACAGTGCTTCCGGCCGCTCCGCTCCTTTCCTCTCTCTTTCTCTTTTCTGCTAAGTACATCTATGTTTATGGAATAATACTGAGATTCTTCTTTTTTGGGTTCTTTTTTTGGCGTACAGGTTGGGCTCTGAACTCTGATCTCGCCGTGGTCCGTGGACGAAGGAAACGAAGTCGCGTAAAGGTCAAGCAAGCTCTTTTTCAAACCCCCTCCTTGGTCCCCTTCCCTCCTTTGGTCTCCTGTGGTTGGTCGAGGCGAAGCGAAGTGAAGGTGCTTCTAGGTCTTTTGTTGGCGGATGTAGGAGTCGAGTTCGAGTGCTTCAAGACTTGTTGGAAGAAGAATTTAATGAGTGGTGTAGGCTAGCTCAACTGGTAGAAATACATAGCATAGAAATACAAATTGTACAACTGACTTCGCATCTTACGATATACACATACACCTTTTCAGGCTTTGTTTTTGGTTTTTGCTTTTGCCTTCGGAGCTTGTCCTGGTGTCAACTCAGAGTCAAAGTAACATGGCTGGGTCCAGGTTCGAACTCGGGTTGTAGTTAGGTTGTATGCGCCTGTTTGGAATCCATCAAATTTGTAGGAAAGTCGTTCGAATTTGCTAGCGGTTGCCTTGTCGCTGACCGGGCCCCCTTACCACCTGCAACCGTTCGTTCATTCCTTTCGTATCGACCAAGGTCGTTGTGTAAGTCCTCTATTGCTCTCTGGAGGTATTGTGGTAGATGAGCTGACTGGTTTTCTGCTGTTTTGGACTTGTCTCTTTATCCCCCTCCTCCTGTTCGCGTCGTGACGTTGCTCATTTGGACATGATTCGATTCGAATGGTGGGGACTTTTATTGCTTGGACGTTGTACAATCTCGATGGACGACCTCGATGTGAACGACGCGATGCCTTGTTGTCCACGCTGCCAAACCGCCAACTCATCGACCGACTCACCGATACTGACACCAATTGCGAACGCACCTAACGAACCGAACGATGACCGACGCGCAATACAATACAGTTTATCCTCCCGCACACAAATCCATCGTCTGCCAACCCAACAATGACTGAAGAAATCCGCGCCCAATCTTATGTCGGTTTCGACTCTATTACCCAGCAGATTGAGCATAAGCTCTTGAAGCGGGGTTTCCAGTTTAATGTCATTCTTGTTGGTGGGTGACTGCGTTTTTTTCCTTCTTTCTGCTTTTGGGGTTTTGTTGTGGAGTTTGATTTTTCGGTTTCTGGTGTGGTTTGGATTTCGAATGGGAGTTGGGGTCTGCTTTTGGGTAGGAAACGAGGCGGCGGGGAAATGATGCGACACACGCGAGGGGAGGGTGGGTGACACGTCGGAATGGTGACACTGGAGAAGCGGCGTGCTAGCGTCTCGTTGCTGGCTTCTAACTTCTTTTTCCCGTTCTCTTCGAATTCTCGTGAACGAATCGTGTGCTAACGTTCACACAATCTGCTCATTTGTACAGGTCAAACGGGTTTGGGCAAATCCACGCTCATCAACACCATCTTCGCGTCGCACTTGATTGATTCGAAGGGTCGCTTCACTGCGGATGAGCCTGTGAGACAGACGACGGAGATTCAGGCTGTTTCTCATGGTGCGTTTTCTTTGGTTTTCGCCAAGTGGGGTGGATAGGTGCTTATGGCTTTGTGGATGTGCAGTCATCGTGGAGAATGGTGTCAAGCTTCGCCTGAACATTGTTGACACCCCTGGCTTTGCTGACCAGGTTAACAACGAGGGATGGTGCGTTCTTCCTTGCGTGGATTCTTTGATTGGCGGGGCTGACGTACGACTTTTTCTAGCTGGGATCCTATCATCAAGTACATCAAGGATCAACACAGCGCTTACTTGCGCAAGGAGTTGACTGCTATGCGAGACCGCTACATCCAGGACACCCGCATCCACTGCTGCTTGTACTTCATCAGCCCCACTGGTCACAGTCTCCGACCCATCGATGTTATTGTGATGAAGAAGCTCAGCGAGGTCGTCAATGTTGTTCCTGTCATTGCCAAGGCTGATAGCTTGACGTTGGAGGAGAGGGAGCGATTCAAGAGCAAGGTGCGTTGTTTGGGTATTTGGGGACGAGCGTGGAACTGATGGGAAGTGTAGATCCGTGAAGAGCTCATTTACAACAACATTCGTCTGTATCCCTTCGATACCGATGAGGATGAAGAGGAGGAGATTCAATTGAACGAGTCTATTCGGGTACGTCGCGCGGTTCTAATTTTAGGGCCGGGTGTGCTAACAACCCCTTTAGGAGGTGGTTCCATTCGCCATCGTCGGCTCGGAGAACAACGTCATTATCGATGGCAAGGCTGTTCGTGGCCGCAAGACTCGATGGGGTGTTGTCAACGTTGAGGACCCCAACCACTGCGAATTCGTTCACCTGCGCAACTTCCTCACCCGCACCCACTTGCAAGATCTCATTGAGACGACCGCTCAGATCCACTATGAGGCGTTCCGCTCGAAACAGCTTTTGGCTCTCAAGGAGGGTGTTAACCAGCAACGACCTGCTGCTCCTCAGTAAATGTGATATCCTACCGCCACGTACCTATCATCATCTTGTAATCCTCCCGATGACGTCTCCTTGATACCCTACCCACTAGTGCATTTTTACTCGACTCCCTCGACCTATTTCTTTACCACCTTTTTTCGGATTCTTTCGCTCCTTAGTATTTGTCTTGAGTACTCCATCTCGCTCGTTTAGTATTCCCTCGGAACTCTTGTTTTTTCTTTCTTGGTATATGAGCTAATAGTACAGATTCCTGCTAGACGTGCCACTTTTTCAGATGGGAGTCAGTGTTGTGTGAATGGTCGGTTCTGGTGTTGGGAAATTCGGGACCGGGAAAAGGACGGGCGCTTCTTGGCAATAAACATGCTGACGTGAAAGGCAAGACAGTGTTTCTCGAGTTTGGGGCTATTGAAGGGGATTAGTTCCTCGGAGGTGTATTCCGTACTTCTGAATGAGTATAGCAACAGATTAGTTAGAAGAGGGGAGGAGTGAGGTTGTGACAAGTGTTTTGATATTTGGTGATGTCAGAGGAGATTTGTCATGAGTGTGCTAGACTCGGTCAGCGCTCTTGAGCTTGTCCCACTACCACCGCGTTCTCCCTCCGCCCGCCGGCTAGTCCGTTTCCCCCTCCTCCTCCTCCTTCCCCCCCATTTCTTGGTTTCTCTACTAAACCACACCAACGACGAGAAATCAACACGACCCCACCACGAAGCGGACGAAACTAAAAAGTCGACGGAACGGGGTTCGACTTGAAGCCGGGGAGACGCAACACCAACGGCCTGCACATTCGCAAACCTTTTTTTCCTACCTCCCGTTTCTGGGGGACGAGGCCGCGCGCTTCCTCTTCTTTTAAAAAGTTTCTTTTTTGGAAGAACGAAGCGATATAATGAAGCGTGCTAGGAAGGTCGCGGAGTGGTACGACAAATGGGCAGCGTGGAAGGTGGAAGATTTGTTCTCCAAGAAGCGCGAACCTGGGCCTCGGAGGACTGTCTTCATCAACGAAAACCTACCCGACTCGTATCGAGATTCGAAGGGAAGAGTCAAGAAAGACCACATTTATGCGACGAACCAGGTTATTACTTCAAAATACACAATCCTCACCTTCATTCCCAGAAACTTGCTGGAGCAGTTTAGAAGGATTGCAAATATGTACGGTCCCCCCACCTTCGTTTCGCGTGTGGAGTAAAAGTCTAACCTTTTCAATCTTTTTTAGATTCTTCCTGTTCATCGCTGTTCTGCAGTTCTTCTCGAGGTTTCGGACGATCTCGCCTGGGCTTGTTATTCTGCCGCTTCTCATTGTGTTGTCAATAACGGCGGCCAAGGATGGATACGAGGACATCAAGCGACACCAGTCTGATAGACAGGTTAATCATACCCTCGTGCGGGTCTTGTGTGGTGGAGGATGGATCAATCCGAACGTCATGGAGAAGAAGGCCAAGACGTTTGTTCGCGGGCTCGTCCCTAGCAGGATGCGGAAACGAGGTAGCAAGGTCAAGAACGTCAATCCCAAGGGCGAGGAACTGGCCGGCGTCACCTCCAACGACCCAGCCCCGGAAACCCCGGGTGTAGAATTCGATGACCCAGAAGAAACCACAACCCACTCGTCTCATCATCTTCCCCACGTCTTCCATCACGGCACAAACAAAGAAGACACCGACCGCCCTCATTGGAGGAAGAACGCATGGGAGGACCTCGCGGTGGGTGACTTTGTCAAGATTATGGACAATGAGAGTCTCCCCGCCGATATTCTCATTTGCTCCACCTCTGAAGACGAGAACGTCGCCTTTGTCGAGACCAAGAATTTGGACGGCGAGACGAACCTCAAGTCGCGCAATGCGGTCCCTGCTCTTACGCATATCCGATCCGCAGCCGACTGTGCGTCACCTCATAACAGCTTTAGGGTGGACTGCGACCGCCCGGACGTCAACATGTACAGGCTCAATGCGGCTGTGAGGGTCGGTCAGGATATGTTCCCCGTGGACATGCAAAACGTTTTACTGCGGGGCACCGTTCTTCGTAACACCAAGTGGGTTATTGGTGTCGTTATTTATACTGGGGAGGACACGAGGATTGTGATGAACGCCGGCGGGACACCGAGTAAACGGAGTAAAGTGGAGAGGCAGATGAACCCACAAGTGTTTATCAACCTTTTGGTTTTGGCGGTTATGGCTATCGTCTGTGGTGTGGTCGATTCGATCCTCCAGCATCGATACCTTGGTTCCGAAGCGCCCTGGCTGTACGATGCAGATCGACCTGGCGACAATCCTTCAGTCAACGGTGTCATCACGTTCTTCTTCGCGCTCATCACGTACGTCCTTCTCTCTGTGGACTCGCCTTTGGAATACAGCGCTCACGCTCTTGTTCCATCATCAGCTTCCAGAACATCGTCCCTATCTCGCTGTACATCTCGATCGAGTTTGTGAGGACGTGTCAAGCCGCGTTTATCTACTTTGATAAGCAGATCTTTTATGAGAAGACGGAACAACCGACGATTGCGAGGAGTTGGAATTTGTCGGATGATTTGGGTCAAGTGGAGTATATCTTCTCGGATAAGACTGGTACCTTGACGCAGGTTTGTCCGCGTCGCTCTGTCGAAGAGATTTTCCCGCTCAATCTATGCTCCCTCCCTTTAGAATGCGATGGTGTTCCAAAAATGTTCGATTGGCGGGAAAGTTTACAATGGAGATCCCTCTCCCGAAGACGAGCTTCCAGCTGACGATCTCAAAGCCGCCTCGGCTATCAAGGAGTTGCCAGACATCGCCATCCCAAAGAAACTTGCCGGGCTCAGCACCGAGAAGGAACTCAAGATACTCAGCTCGACCCATGTTCAACTCACCGACTCGGGATCAGCAGGGACTTCATCTGTCAAGCGCGACAGCAAACTAGCCGGAGCGGAGAACGTTCCTCATCCGTTGGAGGCTACGGCTCTCAAAGCTCGTGTTCACTTTCACGACGCTGAGCTTGCGCAGGATCTTCGTGATGCTGTTTCGGCGGAACCTGGGACGCCTGGTGCCAGTCATGCTCGAACGCTTAACGGGTTCTTCTCCGTTTTGTCGCTGTGCCATACGGTCCTTGCCAATGTTGATCCGACGACGGGGACTATCGAGTACAAATCCCAGAGTCCGGATGAGGCTGCCCTCGTTCAGGCTGCTGCGGATATGGGATTCGTGTTCCGAGGGAGGGAGCGGGAGGTTTTATTGTTGCAGACGCCGTTTTCGACATTGACGGCTGAGACGCAGTCGCCTAGGAGTTCTTCGAGTTCGAAGGAGAAGCAGAGTATCTCGAGTGAACCGCGTATGGAGGGTCTGGAGCGCTACGAGCTTCTTAATATCCTCGAGTTCACTAGTGCTCGCAAGCGTATGAGCGTCATCGTGCGGAAGCTGGATAGCGACGATTCGAGGCTGTTTCTGCTGTGTAAAGGGGCGGATAACGTTATTTTCGAGCGGTTGAAGCCTGGGTATGCGGAGGATTTGAAGGAGGAGACGGAGAAGCATCTGGACGAGTTTGCTGCGCAGGGTCTGAGAACGTTGACGTTGGCTTATAAGGTCATTCCTGGTACGTCTTTTATCCCTTCTTCCCTCTTCCCATCCCCCTTTTTCTTTTACCTCGTTCCGGGTTGAGCTGTTGAGCTGATGTAAAACGATGGTGATGTAGAGGACGTGTATCAATCATGGAGCGAGCGGTATCACGAAGCTACTGTTTCCTTGGACGATCGCGAAGAGAAGGTTGAGCGCGTGTCGGACGAGATTGAGCATGACCTTCGGTTGCTTGGTGCGACGGCCATTGAGGACCGGTTGCAGGACGGTGTTCCTGAGACTATTGCGGACCTTAAGGAAGCTGGTATCAAGATTTGGGTGGCGACTGGAGATAAACTTGAGACTGCTATCGGTGAGTTGTTTTTGTTACCTTTTGGGAATTGCATTGCTGATTGGGTTGGGTTGTGTTTAGCGATTGGTCATAGTACGAACCTCATTGGTCGAGACTCGAACATTATCGTCATTCGAGGTGGGAATGAGGGACGACCGGTGTATGACCAGATCATGTATGCGATTGAAGAGTTCTTCCCCGGGAGTGGGATCGTCGATGAGCAGGGCAAGGTTCGGGATATCGATGATGCGCCGGCCAAGTCGCCCAAATCGGCCAGGAGGAACTCGCTCTTCAGTAACCCGCCGCAGAGTCCTGGTGCGGGTGGTGGTCCGCTGAGAAGGTTCGACACTGGTATCTCGTCTATTGTGGGTGCTGGGAATGGTGAAAGGCCGGGAGGATTCGTGCTCGTCATTGACGGCGGTGCATTGTCTGTTGTGCGTATCATTTATACCCTTCCTTCATCATCGATGATGGACAAGTTACTCATGGAATATACTTTTGGGATAGGCCCTCTCGGATGCTGAACACAAGAACATTCTACTCCAACTAGCTATGCTTTGTGAAGGTGTTATTTGTTGTCGAGTATCGCCGTTGCAGAAAGCTTTGATTGTGAGGCTTGTGAAGGATGGGATTGGGGCTATGACTTTGGCTATTGGGGATGGTGCGAATGATGTTAGTATGATTCAGGCTGCGGATGTGGGAGTTGGGATTTCGGGAGAAGAGGGGTTGCAAGCTGTGAATTCGTCGGATTATGCGATTGCGCAGGTGAGTTGTTGGGTTTTTGTTCTCGTGGGGGAGCGGCTGACCATGGTTTTTTAACAGTTCCGGTTCTTGAAACGCTTGCTCCTTGTTCATGGCCATTGGTCTTACTATCGTAATGGCAACATGTGTGTTGTGTTTCTCATTTGACTCGGACAGATCACTGATAGGTTATCTAGGATTCTCAATTTCTTCTACAAAAACATTGTGTGTATTGGTGTCCTGTGGTGGTTCCAGATCTACTCTGGGTGGAGTTCCAACTAGTGAGCTTTCCGTGTCCGATTGAGCCTATTCAAATGCTGATGGTAATCGACAGCGTTTTGGAGTATACATACCTACTCTTCTGGAACTCGTTCTGGACGATTGCGCCTGTCATCGCCATTGGCTTGTTCGATCGCCTAGCTGGTTCGTATTGCCCTGTCCCCTGCCTCGTGGATATACAGCTCACACTTCCTTAGACGACGACCTCCTCATGCAGTTCCCCGAACTCTACCGATTTGGACGTGAAGGCCGATGGTTTGGATTCGGCTTGTTCACAGTCTTCATGTTGGACGGTGTCATGCAATCTGCTATCATCTTCTTCCTAATCCTCTACGCCTATGTTCTGGTGTCAAGTCGGAAGGACGGGTGGGACGTTACGCAGTACGAGTTCTCGACGACGATGGCGTTCTCTGCTGTCTTCACTGCCAACTTTTTCAATGGTCTCAATACCAATACCTGGACTGCTTGGGTGTTCTTTGCTGTGTTCTTTGGAGACGCCTTTATCTGGATCTACACTGTAAGCTCGTCTCGTGTTGATTGTGGTGCTGGTCCAAAGACTGACGTGGTGTGTATAGGCTATCTATAACTCGATTTCCCCTGGCTGGTTCGTCACCCCGGTGTGGGGCAACAACAACCTGCTTTTCGAGTCTGCCTACTATTGGCTGTGTCTCCCACTTACCATCCTCCTCTGCCTCCTCCCTCGATACATCTACAAGGCGTATAGGGCAGGATACCACCCCGACGACATCGACCACCTTCGGTACGCTCGCAAATTCCATCCCGACATCGACTTGCGACACGAACTCTCCGATGAAAAGGGTGAAGGCGTGGCGCTTGGTGCACTCCGCCGATCAACCTCTATGCACTCCCGAACAACAGCGCGAACTGAGAGTATCGCGTCCATGCCTCGACCTTCGATGGACTACCGCTCGTCAAGTCGGACGGATATGTCTACAGGTGTTACCTCGCATCACCGCGGTTTCGATTTCTCGATGGAGGAGGGCGGTGTAGCCATCCAAAGAATGCAAACGAACCTTTCAGAACGGCGGCAGAGTAGGCCTTCGCTTGCGCCTGTGCCGGAGTCTCCGCAGAAACGAAAGATGCTCACGTTACCGCGAAGTTTGCTTCGTCGGAAGGGATCCAACGCCCAGGATGCATCGCAATCATGATTTTACACCTTTTTTCTCTCTATTCCTTTCTTATTCATAATTTTTCCATCGGAATCGGTGCAGCTTTTTTCGGTTGTCGTTCTCGGTTCTGTTTGCTGTTCTGACTTGCAAAGTGATATCGTGCTCTATGCTGTTGCTGTTCCGGCTATTGATCTTCTTCATTCATCATGCCCACGTTATGATCTGCATTTCTTTCTGCCCTTTCTCTTTTCTCCTTCGGAAGCAACCACCCTTTTTTTGGTTTACTTTGGCCTAGGTTTTCTTAGAACATTACTACGCACTGCATTTGCATGGAAGCTTCTAGTATCCCAGCAGAGATCTGCTTTCGTTCTGCGCTCTCGTCGCCCACCTCAACTCACCTCACCTCTTTCCCTCGTCCTTTTCGTCCAATATATGTATTATTTAGTAGCAGTAGATAGTTTGTATCCAACACCGCGACATACACATAGGTACACCAACCACTTCGACAACACAACTTCCCCCCCCCCCCCTCGACAACCACACCGTAGTATTCCCGTCGTTCCTTTTTGGTTTTGGTGCTCTTCTTCTTTTTTTGCAGCTACTGTGATCATCTAGGAATTCGCCCGCTCCTTGTTGGCTGTTCATTATTGTGTTATTTATTACATCCCATAACGACTCGGTTACGTTCTACTGTACGGTTTTGTGATTAATCAATGGATTTGGTCTCTTCAGGGTATGGCGTGGTTTGGGTATCGACGAGGACTACCTAGTTGAGATGCCTCCGATGCGCTCCAAATTCCTCCTCCATGTTTCTTTCTTCAATCCGCTTCATTGCGTCAAACACTGCGCCCAGTGTAACCCACCCAAAGCTCTGGGCTCCAAACTGAGTACCACGCTCGAGAGACAGCTGCCAAGCGTTCCAAGCTCGCTGTAAATATACCTCCAAACTCGAGGTATCCGGACCTTCCAGAACTTCTCGTGTCCCTCGCACCAACAGGTCAGTTTTTTCTCGCAGCTTGGACATCAACTCTTTTCGCCTCTTGGGTTGCGACGTTTTCTGACTGATGGTGCCAATGAGGGCTTCCGCCTCTGTTAGTGAAGCGTCGCGGCCGGTGGAGAGGGTGTGGCTGAAGCAAATGGCCTCGAGCTCCGTGGTGAACCGGGAAAGAATGCCTTTGATCTCTTCCATGCTGTGATACTCCTCCACCAACATTTCCTCGTCCAAGTAGTTTTCCACTTCCTCTGCGATGATGTTGAAGTAGCGATCTTGGTTTAGCATCGGCTCGTCTTCTTGGGCCCCTGTCCTTCCTCGTCTACGTCTCCTGCGCCTATGTTGCTCGTATGCCCCGTCGACTGTGCCCTTTTCGACCGGGAGTTCGATGCGCCGGAAGAGTTTTCCAAGAGCGGTGGAGCTAACATAGTATTTCTCAGACAACGCTTGGGCATCCAGCGTTTCCGGGGCATTCCAATCCGGCTTCAGCTTGTGCTTCAACCTTGGGATTTTCTTGAAGTCTACAGGGGTTCCGGATTTTGGATAGTCCACTGCAGCGCTGTGGAGGTCGGCGAGGAGCATGCAGTCAGAATCGAAAATCCCGGTCGAATCTGGGTCACCGTTTGCTGTGGGATAGGTGGCGAGGTACGCGTGGCGGCTCTGGTCTGCAATGATGCGCCAGTTAATAGAGACCATACCAAGAACCTATGGATCCGCGAGGTTAGTGGACGGGCTGGCAGAATGCACGAACGGAACGTACGTCAGAGAGAATGTATTCCAAGACGAATTCTGCAACATCACGCATCGTACTCTTCTCTTCAAGATATCTCTTTTCCGCGGGAGCGTATTGCGACGGTTCGGGGATTCGGGTTGGCCTGAATCCCTGAAGGGCGGGATCGGACAAAGGAAGAAGGTTATAGGTGTCGCCATCCAAATCCCCGCCACCAAGACAAGATGCTAAAGGCCGATCGTCTAGTTCATTCAATATTCAGTATCGAGTATGGTTGTGATTTTGGGTATTCAAGATCTCACCTAAGACATTGAACACGACAGTGTTGGCCAGAGGTTCGCGCTCAAACGGCGAGCCTGGAGGAGGGGGACCAATAGCGCGGGTAATCCGCACGTCGCCGGGGTGGATGCACGGGGAACGAGAGATGAGGATGTCGCCCTCGAGATAGAAACCCTTCTCGTTTGTGGGCTTGACGTATGCAAAGATCTCTCCCGGTTGGAGGAATCTGTGGACGTCTGCTACACCCACCAACGTCCAGGCTCCAGGGATGGGAATACGAGCATGGTTCTTGAGATCTCGAAGGACGTGGTTAATCGCGAACTCCATGGCCTTTGAGTAGAACTTGTCTGGATTCAGGTGTCGAATACCCAGCCTGTCGAGGCTGTTCATGACCGATGACAATCTGAACGATGACCCTAAGCCGTAAGAATCCAGCATGGAGGCGGCCCGCCTGAGTGACGAAGCTGCCTGCCTAGTTTCGCGAACAGCACGGTCTTGGAAGTGTTCGAAGGTACTGTAAGGAACGCCGAGGCCCTCTAGGATCATGATGAGCGGGCGGTTGAGGTAGTAAGGAGTGGGGCGGTCAAAGGCCCGCGCGATCTCGATGTATTTGCGAGTGGGTGCTTCGAACTTGACCATGGAAGGCCGGAGACAAATCTTGTGCCCGGTTAGGGTGTAATCCACCGACAGCATTCCTTTGGCACCGCCAATCCGTACTTGGTCTGCAGCAGGGGCAGGTCCTTTCCTCTTGGGGAGAGCCTTCCAGATGGCCCTGGATGCCATCGGGGACATGGTTCCTACACCATCGGTGTGTGTCCACTTGTGGCCTCCCGAGGTAACCTCGATATCGTCAATGACCGTTATTTCCAGGTCTTGGACCTCGATGGTACAGAGATCTGTTGCCGTAAACGCTTGCGAGATTCTGGCTGCGTATCTTGCTGGACAGTGCATCAACCTGGGCTCGAAGTCCAGCCCATCGAAGGTGCCTAAACTTTGAATTATCGAATCGGCCGTCACCGTCACCCTATGCCCATTCTCGATGACATCGAAAGGTTTGACAAACCTGAGGACATGTTTAGGCTGGCGCGAGGTGTTAACGAGTAAGCACTTACCAGACAGAATGTTCCTTCAAAGCCGACATGGAATAGGCCAGGAATTCGAATCTTCTACCGGCGATTTCAAGGCCGTTGAGGAGGATGTCTCCAAAGCGAGCCCTTACAAAGGCTTTATGGTCGACCTGGCGGTCAGACGACCTGTATTGAAGTCTCCCCTCGTCGGCAAAAGTGACTCGAAGGAAGGAGGAGTGATGCTGTGGATCGTATGCGCGGATGACCCTGTTGGACTGCTCTGGGTATGGGCCCTCGAGGAAAATCGCCGTTGGGGTGACTGTAACATGAAGGGATTGGTAATTGCTCCCATCTGTGGCTTCTAGCGACGGCGAGCCATACGTTTTTGCAAAGCCGTCTTCGGTTTCATTGAAGCAACGCCTGACGGCGTTGTCGGGATCATCGTCGTACTGATCTCCGCCGTGAATGTACAATGCTTTGAGATTGTTGCCAAAGGCTTTCAGGAAAGTCGCCGTGTACTCGCTGCCCTTCGACCTCGTAAGTCGGTGAATATCGGGAATAATCTCCAGCATCTCCTTGATATCGATGGACCGATCGCCGACGATTGCCTCCACCTGGTAGGCGACGTCCCATTCCAGGCTGCGAATGTGTTCCTGGAGGAGGTCCATGCGCATCTGGGAGAATAAACCACGACGGTCGATGGGGTATTCATAATCATCCGCACGCCGGGCGTTGGCAAGCTTGCGGAGGTGCTCGAATTGATCGAGGCCACCTCGGTCGCGAAACACGAGACGGAGGACCAATGAAGCAAAAGGCGCAACACGTTTGTGACCCTCTATCGGTAAAAACGAGAGCTGCTGTCGGGGGATAGGGGGTGAATTTGAATTGGTGATCTCCAGAGCCTTGAGAAATGCGGCGAGCCAATCTAGCGACTCGGACGACCCCGCGAGTTGCGAGGACCCATCCCTTGGAATCCTTTGGTATGTCGGCGGGTCGTTGAGGAAAATGACCAAGGCATACTCTTGCTCGAGGTAGGAATGGGCGGACATATAGTCAATGGACGGTGCTCGGAATGCGATGACATACGTGTCTCCATCACCTCCAATGAAGGCGACGCAATATCGACGATTCTCTTCATCAAAACTGAGGGTGCACTTGCGGGGTCTGTCCTCAGCTTCGATGGAAAGAATGCCATCACGGCAATCCCAACCAAACTGGATGGCATTGATTGGAACCTGTGAGGATTCCAGTTCCGCTGCCCTCTTTTCCTCTTTCTCCACCTGCCGCGGATCCCTATACGGCATCAGTCGAATGGTCGCCAAGGCATCTGGGCGGGGTGTATCCTTCCGACTTTTGTTGAACATAACTCTTCTCCCGTCCAGTTCAACTGCTTTGGCGCCTCCAGGGCCATATAATTGAAGAAACCGTGCCCCGATTTCCATTGTCGGGAGCGTCAGGAAGCCTGTACCCGAGTGAAGCCTCATAAAGCGCTTGTCTGGGAGGAGGTGGACATGGAAGTTGTATATCGGCGCAGAAGGGGCCAGGAAGTCGGGGCCATGCAGAACATAAGCCAAGCTGAGAATGATTCGAGTGCGATCGAAGTTGAAGTTGAGGCCCTTCATATGGATCTCCATGTTGTCTCCCAGTGTGGTGCTGGAGGGCAAGCAAGAAGTCGTAGGGCCACAGTCTGCAATCGATCGCCTTTAAATGGCCACGGAACGATCAGATTGGCGCCCAGAATGGGCGATAAGAACGTGGTCATGGGGTCAGGCTTCCAGAAGCAGAGAAAGCTGTAAGCAGAGTCCGACGACTCAAGCTTTGAACTCGGCCACGTGGTCAGTACGTTAATTACAGACATGATACCCATTCCGGAGGTATTCATATTCAAGAGCGGCGATTGCTGTACGGAAGTTTGGACATTGACCGATTCGGCGGTGATGGACAGGTCCTGGCCTGGTGTGGTGGGGCAAGAAACGGGAGGGGGCTGACGGCAGACGCCGCAACAACGGATTGTCAATCCGCGACTGTTTGGTTTGATCCTTCAGGCCAAACAGTGGTGATCACACTGGCTCGTCAGATCCTCCACCACCACCCATCGTGGCGAGGGTTGGAAAACGATGTACAAGACGACGCTTCAGAGAGACTGCGCATAGAAATTTCTCTTTCGACTGTGCAAAGCGCTCGGCAACGTGCGCTTTAGCCAGCTAAACGCTCATCAGGGCCGGATCAGGGCGGAGTTGTTTGGTGATCACACGTCCGTGTCACCGAATTCGAGATGCTGACCCCTCGGGCCCTATGAAGGGCAGCACCGGACAAAAATCAAATTGATCTTAAGTTGCCAAAATATCCTTAAGTGTCCGAAATCTTCAGGCCTGACAATGGAATTGATCTTCTGTGTCCCAAATATCTTAATACTTCGGATTAATCTGAACTTCTCAAATTGATCTTAACTCACCAGAATCTTTAAGTCGCCAGAATCCTCAGGCCTGTGTGATGATCCTCAAAGAGCTTCGAATTGATCTAAACTTGTTAAATTGATCTTAACTCACCAGAATCTTTTAAGTTGCCAGAATCCTCAGGCCTGAGTGAAGATCTCATAGACGTTTGCACATACAATCCGAACAAACTGTTCCGAGCCAGAAAACTTAAAAAAAAGTCTCGCAGTGGGAGTCTAGAGTCTAGAGTCTCGTAAATGTGTATAAGCCACGTGAACTGCATTCTCAATGACATCTTCACCCCGGGCCGCTGCCAAGAGCCGCCAACCGGGGTTTTCAGTCCCGTGATGCGGCAGGTCGCGGGTTCGATTCAGACGATGTCTGTTATTTTTTAAATTATTGTTAAGGGGGATTTGTACTCCCCTTTCTGTATTAGGTGTTTATCTCCCTATGAAAATGTAAACATTTATCCCTTCGACAAATCTGAAACACAAACGCCAGACATAGATGGAATGACCGCCGGCCACGGCAGTGCCAGTTCCCTTCCCATTCAAAATCTGACCCGTCATCTCAGGTTCACACGGACCGGCCACAGATTTTGCACCGTGGGACATAGGGAGCTCCGCCGCGCGTGCGACTGTCAGGCGTGCGTGAAGACTGAGATGGAGGGGAGACTTAGAGGTCGGAGGTTAGCCTTGGTCTCACGTTATAAGAACGTGTACCCTTCGTCAAGGTTCCTATGGCTGGCTAGGCCGACGGACCGGACGGACGCCTTGCGGCGAGAGCACAACGTGAAGAGACGACTGGAGCTAAAGGCTTGACGGTCAAAGACGTTGAGAGGGTTAAGTTAGACTTAGGAATTCGGATGGAGGGTTCGATGAGGGAAAAGGGGATTGGGTCCTAGTCGATGCAGGAGAGGGAATTGAGTCCTAGTCGAGATTCCGGATGAGGTATCTACTACAAAACCATACAGTACTTATAGAGGACACGTCTAGAGAATCTACGACAAGAGAAAGAGCGGAGAAACAATGGAGGAAACATGAAGGCGAGACTAAGATGTAAGAATGAGAAATACAAACAACATGAAGGCGAATCGATCCAAGAACAACACAAGAGAGTCGAAGAAGCTATCTACGAACCAATCACAACATGATAAGAAAGTCTAGAGCGAGGACATGAAGTAGAAAGGTCGAAGACAAGTCTTGAGCAAAGGACATGTGATGAGGAAAGATAAGCCGAAGAAATGAAAGATAATAACATCGATAAATCAGGAAAGTCGAGATATGACGTACGAGGGAACTTCGGACAACAACAAAGAACGAAGACGTCTAGAAAGGGAGCATACTTCCAAAGAACAATACAGAAGTCGAAGGCTTTGAAATACCAAGCGCGCGCCTAAAGTCCACAAGGCTTCCGGAGGATCCGAGATCACGGAAGGAGCCAAGTCGCGCGTCTTGCCTGATCCAGTGAAGTCTAGATCAGTAGACATTGACGCGACCGGAGTCTAGGTGGCGGTGCGGCTGAAGACGTTGGGGAAGTCAAGGGTTCGAGTATGGCTGGAAGCGAAAGTTGAAATGTCGAGATATGAAGTCGGAATGTCGAAGTCTAAGGTTGAGTCTAGGGAAGGTGTGAGTGCATATCAGGGTTCGGCTAGTGTGGCATGTGCACGAGCTCTGACACGGACACAACTCTGGTTCCAGGTGGTGCCCCAATTACCAACCGACTTCCCGCAACACTTCACCTGACCAATACAACACACTCTTGGATGATGGAGACTATGACGACTACCTTTGGGGAGATGAGGGAGAACACAACATGACCACCTGATGCGGAGCATCAGGCATACCAAGGTGGTACTGTTACAAACTTTCCTACTTTCTTCATTTCTTTCCTGAATCCTGTCGCGAAGAACGAACTAAGGCTGTCCACGAGTCAGCCCTACTTGCAAGTACTTGCAAGTAGACCCGTGGGAATACTTGTGAGTATCCTGACTCGCGGATCCGAGTCACCCGTGCCAAATTACTCATGCGAGTCCGAGTTTGGGATTTTGGCCCATGAGTACTTGTAAAAAGGCCTTAAACAAGGCTTTACAGCCCTCTAGTGCTGTATATCTGCTTTAAGTAGGGTCTATCCATGAAAGGAACACTAAACAAAGGTACATTGATAGAGATATCACAGATTAAAAGCATACAAACCCTTGTGAGTATTTGACTTGTGGATCCGAGTCACTCGTGCCAAGAAACTTATGTGAGTCCAAGTTTGGCTTTTGGTACTGTGAGTACTTAGTGATCACTAGGGAAGGACAGGGGTAACCCCCGGGTAGCCGGACACCTACCCTTACCCCCACCCCCCAAAACCCTTACCCCCCAGTCAGGGGTAGGGGTAGTACCCTTACCCCCCAACCCTGGGGGTTTTGACCAAGGGTTTTGATCATTTTGGCACTAACCATCAGTTACAGTTGTTTATATGGATATTTTTATGTGTTTTATTGCGCATACAGCAGTTATTTAGTAGAAATTATACATAGATGTTGAAATAAATGGGTTTCGCTGGATTTTTATCAAAACCCTTACCCCCAACCGGGGGTAGGGGTTTGGCCAAGGGTAGCCAGAGACCTACCCTTACCCCTACCCCCGCTCTACCCCTGGCCTCTACCCCGGGGGTTTTAAAACCCCTTGACCATCCCTAGTGATCACCAGGGGTTAACCCCGGGTTTTGGAAGGCCGACCCGGACCCGACCCCTGGCTTAACCCTACCCGTAACCCGACGGGTTTTCCGCACGGGTTGAGCTTTAGATCATCCAAATCGGATAAGAAATGGGTGAGATACGGTTAAAACACCTATTTGACCGTATCTCTACCATTTCTCATCCGTTTTGGATGATCTATGGCTCGTTTTGAAGATCTCGGGTCAGAGAATGGCGACCCGTACCCGACCCGTGGCAGGGTTGACCCGAAAACCCGCAGGGGTCAGCCGACCCTTGCTTTTCACTATGAGTACTTGCCTTGCGGCTCCGAGTCAACTCGCGAGTTGACTCGTGGACAGCCTTACACCATAGACCCCTAGACGGATGAAAAGTATCAGAGTTTACGCATACATTGAATTTTAATACGGACTCGTCCGCATACTTTGGACATTTTGCTCACAAAAAGTATGCGGGTAACAGATATTGCAAAAGTAACGGATAGTTTCTATACGCAAAAGGGATACATTTAGAAAGGTACCTGTGTATTTTAGTATCCGTTCTGGGTTTCATAGTGTTAGAACGAACACTAAACCAAAACTAAGACCAGAGACGGGAAGCGACGAGAGCGACGAGAGAGCTTAGAGCGATGAGCGACTAGTCTGTCCAAAGTCCAGTTCGGAACTTTGAGAACTTTGTCCGAACCTTTTTGAAAAAATCAGCCAAAAATTGCCCATAAAAGGCAATTTTTAAGCAAAAGTTCAGTTCTGAACTCCGAACTTTAGGTTCGGACCTGAACTTGACCCGAACTTACAAGTTCAAGTTCGGGTCAGGCCCGAACCGAACCTCAAAGTTCAGGTTCAGGTTCGGCAAAAAATGCCCGAACTTGAACCGAACCGGACTTTGGACAGTCTATGAGCGACTGTTTGGAGTGAAGACTAGAGCGATGAATTGACGAAGAGGTCAAGCTGAGGAAATACAGAGCGATCTACCTAGCTTATATACCTATCCTACCAGGCTCAGCTACGTAGTCATAACGAGTCAGAATGACGAGTGAATGGTGGAACATAGAACAATAAGAAGTGTCACAAGGCTGCGCAAAGGCTGCACAAAGAACAAGAATGAAACAAGAATGAGGTGAGAAGGCGCCAGAATGAGTCAGAAGGCAGTGAAAGGCAGTGCGTAACAATAAGAAGAACAATAAGGGTAGGGCAAAGAGCAATACGAGGCAGTGTTCCATAGTGAAAGAGCCTATAAAAGGATGAAAGCGAAAAGATAGGGGTAAAGAAAAAGATAAGATGCAGGATAAGATAAGATAAGACGAAAATAGGGGCTATACCGGCTGTTCACGACATTTCCCACTTTATTCTCATCACACTTCTAGTGAAGGACACGGGTAACCGACGGGTAAATTTACCTCTACCCGTACCCGTACCCGTGCTTACCCGTACCCGTAAGGCCTCTTGAACTCGACTCCAGAACCAGAACTCCAATCCAGAACTCCCATAACTCTTGA